AAGCCCCATTTAACGAGTCTGTGCAGCATCTCAAACCAGATCGGACAGAGAATGCTCATATGACTTTAGTAAAAACATGCTGAGATCTACGTCTAAAGAAAAGAAAAACAGCAATAAATGTTGCTGGACTGTTTATTTGCTGACTGAGGCAGTGAGAGGTGAATCTCAGAGAGAGATCTGGGAAGTTTATCTTAGTTTTTCTTTTTTTTTCATAAAGAGGTGAGAAAAATACACCACGCTCACCTGCACTGTCTGCCCTTCATTATTATTATTTTTTTTTTGTGAGACTCAAAAGGATTAGTATTTTACTATATCTCCTTTTTCTCCTCTTTTTTTAAGGAGATATATTACTTTGAGATATTATATTTTTTTGACACAAGCCCACTTGCATAAAATCGTGTCTGGTGTGATCATCCCCATTGGCTGTCAATGATTGCTAAACGCCATGACCTCATCCGACACGATTATGTCGGCCCGGAGTTAAATTCGGGTTCAGTGTGTTCTGGCCTTTTAGGAAAAGGGAGCTGGTTGTTTATCCATGGTCAATTTAAAATAGGGATTTCCTGATAGTGCAGATGGAATACATTTATTGAGGCAAAAATTGTTCCTTTTTCAATCTCAACATAGAACATATTTGAGTATTTATTCTTTTTCAAATTATTTATACATGATACAACCCTAAGTCCCAGTTTGACTAGCATCAAACATGCATTTCCATCACGTAATGACATGAGTAAGGCTGATAGCTGTCCAATTTCAGTACAACAGTTCGGAGCTTCTCTGCTACGCATAAGTGTTTTTACTGTTAAACCCAGGAGCTACATTTTGCAGTATTCAGATTTACACTCAGACACTTTAAACATGGATTATAATATTATACACTAACAAAGGAATAATTTAAACCATTTGGTATTTATGAACACTTTGTCTGATTTTTGAAAGTTCAATAAAGTTAATTTGAGTGCTTTTTATACATCTAGACCAGAGTAGAACTAGTTCAGAAAAAACAAACAAACAAGAAAAACACAATGGTATTATTGATACCATAATAATAATAAAATGACTAAAAGGGATGTCTATCGGTGTGGGTTTGGCTCTTCTACTAGAAGTTAGGGCCTAGTTAAAAACACAAACATCAAACTCCCATTTCAGCTCTTGTGTGAATCACAAGCTCCTCTCTCACACTGCAAAAGACCAGTTAGTTATTCTGAGATTTGTTGTAGTTCTTTCTTTACCTCATTACTTTTGATTCTCCTCATGTTTCCTATCTGTTCTCCTCAGGACACAATCGATGTGTCACTGCTTCACCCCTTTTCTGAAGAATACGTGTTAGAAACCAAATGTTCAATAAACCTCTTCTCTATGTTTTAAAAAAAAATATTTCCTGGACTGTTTGTTAGTGGTCTAGATACAAAAAACAACAACACTATAATAGACCTTAATTTTTGCTAATAAGGTGAGGTTTTCAAAAACCTTAAAATGATTTTTAAAAATTCTGTTGTGGTTATAGAAAAAATAGATTTGGGGATATATCGTGATTTTTCGGTGCCCAATATAATATCGATCTTTCAGTTCCTAATATGGATTTTAAAATATCAAAACATTTTTACCTTAAACAATGAAGGTAAAATGGTTTACCTCTGCAACGCCACTTTGGCAGATAGAGCTGTAGAGCCCTTTTGCTGTGTGGGGCAGCGCCATCTCTGTAGTTAAGGTATTCATAGTGGAAGACGTGGACTGACTTGAACCCCAAACAACATCGATACAAGGATAACGAAATGATCAATATCTTCCAATGAACATATACATACTTTACATTCATACATTTGATTTTGATAGCTGGGAAAATATCTCAATATATAGTATCTGTCATTTCTATTCCTTACATTTTTAAAACAAACTTTACTCGTTACTCTCGGCTTCGGTTAAATGTTTATAAATATTTATTTCACGTCATGTGTGCCATCCAATGCAGATCACATGCACTATCCAAATCTAGTGAAAATTAGTGTAATTGGATGAGTCATATAACGCAAACACTCATTGGTTAGTTAAAGGAAATCATCTGAAGCACGCAGGTGTTCTTCAAACTGTAAACGTGAATTGTCTATGCCATGCTACAATGTTGGATTCAGAAAAAGTTGTTGAAATGTCTGAAAGGTCAGACACAGGCGAGAGTGTATCGGGAGATGGAGATGGAGACCAACAAGACCTCCCTGAAACAACTCAAACAACTTTTCGAAATAGTCATAAAATTGAGTTTTCAGTTCATATAGCGGCATCTGGCTGTTTTTTTTTCTTAAAGGTTACTTTACTTCAACTTTTACCAGAGTGTTTTTAAACTGCAGTATCTATACTTCTACTGAAGTAACGAATGTGTGTACGCTTGACACCACAGATTGTGACCAAAGTATCGTGGCATGTCTCCATGCTAATACTCACCCCTGGTACAGAATAATATAATATTGCTTTGACGTCTCTCAAAGTTGCAGTTTTTGAGTTTTACTGGGTCTGCTTCGACATATATGAAAAATAAAGGACTGAAATCATCAAAATCATCTAAAAAAAAAACAGAAACTGTTTTTAAAATATTCTGGTATTAGTTTGGAATGACATTATCCAGGTTCTGGGTGTATACATAGTGTAGTTTTTACTTTAGATAAAAGCTGCTTAAAAGAAATTTAATTAACCCCAAAATCATTTTTTTTATATTAGTTGTCTTGTAGTGCTTTCTAGATGTTCTGGGCATTGTTTTGAAAATTTACTGCACATTTGTTGCAATCTGGCCTTTGTGTCTAAAACAGTGTTCCCTGTCCACTTGCTCCTTCAACACTTAGTGATTTGCTTAGGGCGGGACAATTCAGAACCAACAAGTCTTGAGAGACAAGAATAACTATCACAACTTGAATTCTAGTGACAAAGTTAATGTCCGATCATTATACAAGATTAGAAAGAGGACCCCGCCCCCTACTTTTGTTACCTTTTAATGAATTATCCCTTCTTAATGATCTTTTAACAATTAAAATTTAAAGTCAAGCCTGAACTTCTATCGTTCTGATCTACTCAACACATGACATAATCTATGAAAGACCTTTCTGCCAAACCTGAAACATTGTTGGTACGTTGGTTTATGAGCGGCTCCGATAGCGAAATAATATTTTACTCCAAATACTTTCTAGCTTCAAAATATATATTAAAACTACTTTTTTACCCACTTATCATAGCAAATATAGCAAAACCGCACTCTGCCGTTGAACACAGGAGCAGCACAAGCATCTGGAAACACTTTACTGGACACGCTTCGGGATCATCAAGGATGCTCTTGACGCGCATCTGACCTTAATGTGTAAAAACATAAAAATATAAGGCAGCAGGTGCTTTTTTGCTGTCCAAAGTCCAGTGTGACTATAGCATTAGTCTGGCCTGGAGCAGGCTTCCAGCACCAGAGCCATGGAGATAGGCGAGTTGCCTCACCAGAAGGAAAAGCCAGTTGTTGCAACGAGCGTCCAGTAGTTTGGTCCATACAAAATACATGCAAATCTGTGACAGACCTAACTACACAACAAGGTACACAACCATAATGAAAAAGCTGACTGATTAAGAGGATTAATTAAAGACCTGTTCAGCTGACTCATATCTACTGTTTATAGATGTTTACGTTTCGTTTGCATGATCAAAGATGAATAGAGCAATGTGAATATCCTTTTCTGCTAATAAAATGTGACGCTATATATATAAATTTATACTGCCACGCTCTGCTAATGTCCATGGCAATGCTAGCGTGAGCAGCTAACTTCCCTCCAACTACTTAAGCTCTTTGCTCCTATGCCCTTTGAAAATTGTCTACAGTGGAGTTGTAAGAAATATCTTACATCTGTGGCTCTGGGCTGAACAATCATAATGGTAACTAATATGTTACTACTTTAATGAAACCAAGTGAAAGCATTATCACACCAGGATATCCAGAAAAGCAAGTTTTTAATCCATTCTCTTAGGGTTTTTAAACAGCCCTATGGCCCTTAAGAGCTGCATAGCATGCTGATGGTTGAGGCATGCCACACTGAAAAAAAAAAACAGAATTTAGAAAGGTCATTTTTTCTTAAAATAAGTGCACTTGTTCTTGAATTGAGAAAGTAAAAGAGACATTTTGCCAATGGAAGAAGACAATTTACATTTAAAATAAGAAAACACAATTACATTGTCTTATTTCAAGTCCATTTTGCCTAAATATCTTATTTCAAGTTCAAAGTACTAATTCCATTGGCAGGTCATCTTATTTACCTACTCAAATTAAGGGTAAATAAAATTAATTTCATAATTTTTTTACTCATTTGTGGATCATTTTTCTAGTGCATAAAAGAGATGCATCCAGTAGTCAAGAGGATAGGGGGCTGTGAAGGACATGGGTTGGGCACCTCTGCAACACTCAAATGTGATCACAAGATGTGGTCCAAAAATATTCTCATATTTTCACCTTCTAACTTCTTTATAGATCATCTGAATATAGGTTAGGGGTTAGTCAAGATCAAAAATATAGCCCATATAGATTTTTTCTTGCTTTTAATCTAGCAATTTGATGTGTTATGATGTTTGCTGTGTCACTTGTTAGCGAACATATCTGTGTGGAGGAAGCCAGGGTTTGTGGCATAGGGAATAAACTGTTTCACTATGATGGACAGTTTAACTCAGGCTGATGGCAGCACTTAAAAAGTTAGTATAGGGTGCATTTTGCATGCAGCAGCATCCTCTAGTTTCTTAAATGTCTGGATTAATGTCACAGGAACATTCTGGCTGCCGTGAACTTCTCAAAGCCCAGATTTAGTAATATCATACCCTGAAAACATGGTAGTGATGGAATCATGCTCACACTTTTTTTTTTAGATGGAGCCTAATGTTTTTGTCCGGGTGAACTAAGATTTTGAATTGTTCTAAATCAATGTTCTTTGTTTCTAAAAAAAAAAAAAAAAAATGAAGTACAGTCTGTTTCCGTTTTATATTTTGCACCAAACAGATTAGTGTGTTATCTGTGTTCCATTTTTCTGTTTTGTTTTTGGCTACATTTTGCCCATTTTGCAGGATGTATGGCATAAGTTTAAAGGTTCAAGAAGCCCTTAAATTATTTATTTAGATCTTTTACTTTTGAGAAAGCCAGGCATTTTTAAATTATTTTTAAAGAAATTATTATAGAAGACGCTTGTCTTGCTTGTGCTTCATGACTTTTAGTCAGGCAGGTGTAGACATGTTTTAGGAAAAGCTTCTTTATAGTCAAAGCTCTACTCCATTAGAATTTAAGATGTAAATATAAATTCTTAGCAACACAAATGCTTCAAATGAAAAGTGAACTTTGAGACCTTCAATTCCCCCCACATATTTGAGCGAACTATGTCCATGCACACATTCTTTGGCCTGCATATTCGAGATTCGAGAACTTTATACTTAAAGAGAAAGGATTTAAGGTAATTTAGAGGTCAAAGCTCCCCCTTGTGGTCAGAAAAGACATGTCATAAATTATATTTACTTTTATCCCCTTTTTTCTATTTTAAAGTTTTTATGATTATGTTGCATTCATATTTAACATCTAACTCCCCTAAGTTAAATGTTAAGTCCAGTTTCTTTTTTTTGTTGTTGCTATCTTTGCATCCTTACAAGTCATAAAATCTTTTTTTTTTTTCCTAAATTTGCTCTAATTGTAAACAGACGACTCGGGTGACGACTTCCCCTCATCATCGGTGGGCGGAGGACAGGGTGGGGGTTCCCAGAACTCGGAGGTCCAGTCCACACTCAGAACGCTTGGCAGTAAAGTGGAGGATCTCAGCACCTGCAACGATCTGATCTCAAAGCACGGATCTGCCCTGCAGAGGTCAGTGTAACACAGCTCATCACCTTACAGACGGCATCACTCAGACTTTGTTTTTCCAGTTTTACTTCTGACTGAATTATTTTACTAAGACTTAAACCTTAAACAGAATACAACCCTTTTAGTAAATCTGTCTTGATGCATATGTATTTCAGGTCTTTATCTGAACTGGACAGTTTACGGCTGACCGGAGAAGCTGGGGATAAAATTCGTCAGGTGACAGAAAGAGCCACGCTGTTCCGTATAACCTCTAATGCTATGATTAATGTAAGTGTCACCCGCTCCATCTATGAAGATGTTATGATAAAAGGATTGTGGTAATTCATGTTATTTGCTTAATTAACAAAAAAACAAAACATTTTTTCTTTATAATGCCACTCCTAAAGCTGCATAAAACACTTAATAATAACTTATTATACACTAAAGCTGGCCTTTCTTATAATATTTTTTGTTTGATAAAACCAAAAATATTCCTCCTTTCTTTTATATCAACCTCTTTTTATTTTGTGTATTCTGTGTATTGCCCCCAGGCCTGCAGGGACTTCCTGACCCTGGCACAAACTCACAGCAAGCGATGGCAGAAAGCCTTGCAAGCCGAACGAGAGCAGAGGGTCCGGCTGGAGGAGGCCTTGGAGCAATTGGCCAAACAGCACAATCACCTGGAGCGAGCTTTCAGAGGGGCCTCGCAGGCTCACAGCAGTGCGGACAATAAAGGTGAAGGTGACTCACAGTGGATCACACCTATTTGTTTCTCTTTCTGTTGCTCACTCATCATAGCCTTTTAAATCTGGCTTTGCCAGAAATCCTCAATCAGCAAACTGATGATTCATACATGATAATTAACTTAAACAGATGCATTTTTATGTTGCATTTCTAAGCATTTTCACTTTAAAACTTCAATAACATCACATTTAAACTCGCCTGCTGTCTGCTCCCTACCATTAATCCCACAAAACGTAATGGCGATATACACGTTAGAGTTCCCTTGATGACAGCGGCTGCTACTGAGCTGAATCCTTACCGTTTTCCATTGAAGTGAAAGAAAAAATGAGCCAATTGTTATTTTTCAGGTGCTGCTGGGCCTGGAAAAGGTGAGGCCAGCGACGAGGATGACGATAACGAGTTTTTCGATGCGATGGAGGACGCACCTGAGTTCATAACCGTACCTGCAGACCCTCAGTTTCACAAGTCAGTGTCCCTTTCTTCAAGCACATCACAGATTTATCAAACATATTTCCTCCTTTCTTTGTATTTTGTCTTGCATGTAAATGTTTGTTGTGGGACACTCTGAGGTCGTTAATAAAAAAGCCTTTTTTAATGTTTTTTTCTAATGTTTATAACTTCCGAGTTTTGTTAACAGAAGATCAAAACTGATTCTTACTATTGTATAGATATTAGAGAATTGTTAAAATAGTGAAATGAGATTTATTCACGCTGCCTGTTTTTCCTTTTGTTTTGTAAATGAGGAAAACATTTTCAAATGTCGCTGCTCGGCAGAGGTGCTGGCTTTCAGTTAGCCAGCTAACCAAAGGTTTGCAGCAACATGTGGGGGAAGAGTCCGCATCATGTTGGGCTGATTATTTATACAGCCTTAAAAAAAAAAAGAAACAAAACAACTAAAAGAGAATAAAATAATATTGCTTTCATTGTTTGAAATGATGTTAAATCTTAACAAAGAGTGTAATAGAAAAAGGTGTTACAGCTGTGTTTTACCCTCATCGATGTAGCTTAAAGTACTTAGAAACATCCAACTAATGAATCACTTATACAACATTTCTTTTTTTTCCATTTCTTTCAGACGTTCAAGCAGCAATGCGAGTGGTTTGAATAGTGACATGTGTTCAGATGATCAGTCGGTAGGTCTTCGTTTCTTGCTTGGGTTTTTTTTTTTTACAAACATGAAAAACTCCATTTAATCAGAGACGTTTCCTGCGCGCAGCTCAATGAGGAGCCTCTGGCAATGAACCAGGAGTCCCCTTCACAGGAGCTGGTGCCGCTGAGGAAGAGACGAACGCGCATCCCAGACAAGCCCAACTACTCTCTGAACCTCTGGAGCATCATGAAGAATTGCATCGGCAAAGATCTGTCCAAGATACCAATGCCAGTGAGTAGTTAATTACACTAAACTGGCATCAGCTTTTATAGTTCAGGGGAAAACCAGAGAGGTAATAAATTGACAAAATAATTTTCTTCATATGAAATACTTAAAAGGAAGTGCACAGGGCGTTGGCACAGACGAGAAGGAAGAAGTTGGTTATTTTCTTCTCTGTGCGATAAACCAATATTATAACTATGCTCCACTTGAAGGATGTTAATCAGATATTTCTACTTATCTGTGGGACATGGTATTACACCCAGGTGCTCCTCAGTTAATTTAATTTGATCTGTAATCATTTTGCTCATTCAAAGAAAAAAAAAAAAAGTCAAAGTTTTTGAATTAAGCTGAACGTGCAGAGAAGCTACAGGCCAAAGCAGTTATAGCCGCTTTATTTATAGAGTGCCTTATAAAGCCTGGCGTACACTGTGCGATTTTTATCGGGGCGATTTTTACAGTCCTGTCTTTCGAATCTTTCGATCGGGCCAACTTTATGCCTGATCGGGGGGTTACAAGGGGCAATCAGCCCATCACGGCCACCTCCCTATCAGGAATCGTGAGGTTGGGAGAAAATCAAAACAAGTTTGCAAATCGTTCAGTAACATGCTCAAACAAGGATTCTTCTTTTTCTTCTTCCTCTCAGATGTAAACACAGCAGCATGGCAGAGATGCAGTGAGTGAAATGTAGTTCTGTCTGTAAAACTGAAAGACCGTAGTAGCCACATTTGCTCAGCCATATCTTTTGTTTTTTTTAATTATCGTCGCCTTTTCTTTTTAGGGCTTTCAGCACAAATTGCAGCAATTGCCAAGGCAGCGTGTTTCACTATAGTGAGCTTAATATTTCCCTTCTATTTGTTTGGCTTCGGATAGACGAGTCAGAGCAACTCCATCTCTGCTTTTTAGTCATGCGGTGTGAGCAGGTAGATCACACATAAATCGTGAGCTCTGAACTCACACTGCGGTTTATTCGTACAGTGTGAGCTGTAGCTGCGTACAACGACTGAAAAAATCGCACAGTGTACGCCCGGCTTTAGAGCCACAGCGGAAGCAAAGAGCAGAACAAAGCTAAACACTAAAACATCCATTAAAATAAAAAGAATATATAAATAGAGTTTAGGAACAACTAAAAAAAAACAACACAAAAAACAATTTAGGTTCACTCTCGGTCATTCTATTTATACCATAAATATGAGTCATGTCAAGCAAAGGACAAAAAGACTTTTTTAATCTATGTAAATATCACTTCCTTTGAAGCAGTTTTGGGTCTGAGTTTCCCTCGTCCTCCATGTTCATCTGTTCCACTCTGTTGATTTTGGCCCATTTTTTGACACATTCCGTTTTGAATTACTTACTTTACCCTAGAATATTTCTTACACATTTTATTAGAATAACAAATCAAAGCAAGTACTGAGTGCCTATAAGTAGCTGCTAGATTTTAAGTTTATTATTCTTATACATGTTTTTTTTTTTATGTTTTACTTGAGCTTTATCTGTTAAATCTGGTAAGAAATAAACCATGTGTATTTAAAAGTGAATCAGCTTTTAAATACACATTTATGTAAATCAAGCCTTGAACAATGACTAACATTGACCATAAGGGTGATTAAAGGTTTAAACATAACAGCCTGAAGCAGTATGACCTTGTTGCCTTTATTTTTATGACAATAGCAAAAACTTTTACACAATCTGATCTTAGGACTAAAACACGCCGCAGGGCCTTTTTACATTTCTTGGCACACGGCTCAGCTGTTAAAAGCCTGTTAAACAACAGGCTTTGATCCTCATTCCTGCAGAACCGGCACAGTGACAATCTTTAGGAGCCAAACTATGAACCAGAATAGAGTAGCTCAATAATGAGTTATTAAGACTTGTTTATTTAAAATACAAAGGAGGTCATCATGCCTGACGTCTCTGTATTGAATTTCTTCCTTTCTAAGGAAAGATTTTTTCTCAGCTGCTGCTTAATTTTGAGACATTGGCTATGCTGTAACACTGATGAAATGTGGATGCAGCTTAAGGTTCGCATGTTGCTTGATTTGAGATATTTCTGCACATCAAAAGCTGTTTTTGATTCATATATTTTATCCATTTTAAGCGATTCATTAAAGAGACAGACTTATTAGAAAATTTGACTTTAATTTTCGTAACCAGTTAAAAGGCTCAGTGTTGCTCTCCTTTTTCTGGGGGAAAATTGTGTCGTTAAACTTGTAAAACTGCATCACAATGATAGAATCTCTTTTGCCCAAAAGAACATCAGCGCTCATGATGCATTCATGCATTTGGCATCTTCAAAACCACATCAGCCATCGCCACGTGGAGCTTCCACAAACTGTTAAATTAACTTTGTTTTACTGTCCTCTAAAGGGTGGAGTTCTCCATGTTGCTTTTACATCTTTTTTTATTTTTATGTACTTGCCCTTAAATGGTTAGGATGCAGAACTTTGAACCTCCAGCCTCTTTAGCGCTGAGATTTTCTGGCTGTTCCCTCCTTCGTTCACACAGAACTTTGAAGTTGGCAAACTTCTTTTTATATTCAAAGCCTTGACATAACATTTCTAGATTATGAATCCTCTTTTTATTAGTATTTAAATGTTCTTAACTAACATTTCTTTGCTTAAATAGCAACATGAGGCCATATTTTAAAGTAATTTTGTGTTTTCAGCGCAAAGGCACAGCAGAATTACAAGTTAGGCTGCCCTGACTCTCAGGAATTAATAGCCCAACCTCGCTCAGTGTCTGTCAGTTCATGTTGAAGTGTTGCATTGTGTGGTTTTTAAGAACAGGGGAGTGGATTCACTTTTTGGCTGCAAACGATCCACACATAGAAATTTCTACATGTTTAAATTTGTTCTTATGTCAGAAAAGAGGTATGAGGAAGTTTATTTTGAACTAGAGATCTGATTCACGGCTTTGTTTTCTTCTTTGGCTGCCATCCCAGTGAAGGTCTTGTTATCATTTTCATATTGTGCTTATTTCTGGCACTAATTTGAAATCCTCATGTCTGCAAACCTGCCCACACACAAAACCACACTCAACGCTTTGGTATGGAAAACGAGGAGGAAGTAGTTGTTATGGTTTAAAGTGTTGATGATGAGAGCTGGACACACACAATTATAAAGAAATGGAAATGCTCTATTGCGGTATTTTATAGAGCTATGGTAGCTGTAGAGGGGTTTGGCTGAAGAGACTCAGCCAAGTAGGGATGTCAAAAACTTAACAGAAACTGTTTTTTTATAAAACTGTTGAGGGGGACCTCAAAAGTATTGTGGAGGATTTTTGTGAATAAAAAAAAACCCACCCTCTCCGCTTTAAAAAAAACACACCGGCTCCCGAGAGGGAACGTGTATTAAACGCGTGGGAGAACATGCAAAAGCCCATTTCTCGTCGTGCATGCTCTGTTTAAATGTTGCTGTTTCCAGCGCTCATACAAACTTGGCATGTCTAAACGTCCGCCCTAACCCATAAATCCCTCATTCACTATATAGAGCGGGGACTATATAGTGGACTTTATAGCCAACTCAGTTAACTGACCATTCGGACAGATGATTGCCACTTTTTGCTCCCAGTTGCTCATGTAACTCCTCCTCCACTGCGCGGTACCTGTGCCATCTTTGTTATTAGTTGCCACTGCCAGGTGGCGACAGCGGATCACTGTGACAGCATTATCCCATAATTCTTTGCGAGGAGAGCTCTCCACGCAAAGCATTCCAGGTTATAGCTGCCTCTTCTGAGGCCTTTCTTTTCTTTTCATACACTTGGTAGACCTTTTTCTCTTACAACCCTCTGCCATTATCAAAGAACCGCAGTGAGAAAGGTGAGCTTCAATGACTGGTTGAAACTAAAGCTCACCACAGATATACGCCTTTGACAGTTATTGACAGTTAGCAGGTCCACTTATTTAAATGATCCACCCGGAAATAAACTGGAAATATACTGGCACAAGATTTCAATGGAAAGCAATGTCAGATTTGCATCAAAGCAATGCAGACATGTTCAAAACAGATTGGATAAAATCAAGATTCAGCACTGTGTGCAGGTGCTTCAAGCATGGCTTGAAAAGATTTAGGACAGACCTTTCCTAATTATCCTAAAGAGTCTCACCAAGGGTAACTAAATAAAAAGTCACTTGCTGTGTTTCCTTGTCGGCTCAAGAAGCCTTGGGCTTAACTCTATGCTCTATTTGTTCACTTGTATGAAATGCTTCTCTCCAGGTGAACTTCAACGAGCCCATCTCCATGCTGCAGCGGCTGTCCGAGGACCTTGAGTATCACGAGCTGCTGGACAAGGCGGCCAAGTGCCACAGCTCCCTGGAGCAGATGTGCTACGTGGTGGCCTTCTGCGTGTCCGCCTACTCCACGACAGTGTACCGCACGGGGAAACCCTTCAACCCTCTGCTGGGAGAGACATTCGAGCTGGACCGCCAGAGAGAGAGCGGCTACCGCTCCCTCTGTGAGCAGGTACTTGGGTAAAATAAGAGGAAAATAATCATGCAGAATTGTTGAATATGACGAGCAGTGAAAGCCTTCATTGTTTTATCAATGGCTTCCAAGTAAGCAACAAAAAAAAAACATGCATTGTCACGCACACAATGTTAGGGATTAAAGCTTTGTGTTGCCATGCAGTCGATCGAATAATAGGCGGGAATTCTTTAATCTCTTTGAGGATGTAGATTTACTGAATGTCTGTTTTGTAATAGTCATTGTGCTTTAACTCCAGCTAGACAGCCACCCCGCATAATTTCTCCATATGAATTATTTTTTTAAATCGATTCATTTCCTTCACCAGGTGAGTCATCACCCCCCTGCCGCGGCGCATCACGCAATCTCTGACCGTGGGTGGACCCTCAGGCAGGAGATCACTGTTGCCAGCAAGTTTAGAGGCAAATACCTGTCAATCATGCCCTTAGGTGAGAGGTGATTTATAACAATCTGAAGTTGTTGTTGGGTTTAGTCCAGGGTGTGATTCAGTTTCTGCATTTTTTGTATGGTTGATAAAACAAAAGGACTACAGCAAATGGACATAGTGTTTATTTTTTGTTTCTTTGTTTCTTTTTTTTGCATAATCTGACATTGCTAGGGACATTTCTGACACACCTGTGTTCTTTTTTTCTGTTTGTTATTAGTCAGTAATGCGGTTACAGGATACTTAGTCTTCTTTTTTGTTGCACTCATTTTCTCCACAGGCACAATTCATGCCATTTTTGAGAAGAGCAACAATCACTACACATGGAAGAAGGTTACCACCACAGTACACAACATCATAGTTGGGAAGCTGTGGATTGATCAGGTGAGTGTTGGGTACCCTGTCTAAATTTAAGAAAAAAAGTTGAAACTTAAATGGGACCTTTACACCATTTACTGTACCAAACTGTACCTTTGAACTTAACAGTTCAATGGTTCCAATAAAAATAAAACTGTTTTGGAGAACCAGTTTTTCAATTAGTTATCAGGAAATGATTCTAGCTTGACAATAATCAAGCTGGGGATAAGAAACCTTTTGTGTCTTTTCTATTGATCATTCAGGTTATGTTTTTTTTTTTCTCTTTAGAATATTCTCATAGCCTGTGGAAGAGACACAGACTAGAGACCTGCAGCCAGATAAATTTTACACCAATGCTTGTCTGCATATTCATTGTTTAACACCAGGCCGATATGTTTTACCAAGTAAATCTAAAAATGAAACTGTTTACGAACTAGTTCCTTTGCGTTTCTTTTTAGCATTTGCATTAAAAACCCAAAACAAATAAGTTTCAAAATCTTTTTATAAAGTGTCAATATCGGTCTTTGAGTTTTTCTTGAGTTCTATACTACAAATCTGCTGCTTTTTAATTTTCTTCCTTTGCTTTGCAGTTTTATGACTTAAAGACCTTATTCAATTTAATAAAACACCTCAAGCGACTTTTGCTTGAGAAATATAGATGATGCAACTGAGTATCCCAGGCTGCACAGGGTTTACTGTACAACTTCCTCAGCTTTCTACTTTGCACAAAGGTTATAATATAATAAAATGACAACTGGTTCGGTCTCGACTGAAAGTGTTTACCCCATGGCATTTATATTTATGTAAACTTAAATGGATAATTATTTTCAAATAGAAATAAATGGGATTATTATTCTTTTTTTAATGTATTGATAATTCCTTATTTGATTTCTTAAAAACTGAGAAACTCTGAGCACATCTGGGTGTTTTTTGGAGCTACTGAAAGCGTAAAAGTTTTAAATGTTTTCATAGCATCTGTAAAAACAACAAAAAAAAAACGTAATGTGAACATGACCAAATGGTCTCGTCACTGACAGCTGCCTAACTGACTTTGCCCGCCCGCCCACACACACAAACACACACATTCCTGCTGGTCTTTACTTGTTCTATACTTGCAAAAATCAGAAATTCGTGTTCAAGCAGCAAAACGCACATAAAAGTTCTGCCTAGTTACCTACTGGAGTGTTAAGGGCGCACACTTAATATTTCAGCTCGGTTTACTGGGTTTGTTTGCTGGGATGACTTGCAGTTCCTGTCTGTTGGCACCATTGTTGGCCTCGAAACCGAGGCAACACCCAGTTAGCTAGTAAAATGCCAGGTTTGTCAGCTGGCAGAAGTGATGTCTTCATCATCTGACTCACCGAACTGCCTAGATGTTTGTTTTTTTAAAGACATTTTCACCTTCGGTTTGTATTGGTATAAATCTGATAACCTTGTGGAAAGGAATAGAAATAAAGAATTTATGTTTTTCTGTATTTATGGTAAATGGTAAATGGCATGTACTTATATAGCGCCTTTATTCAAGTCAGGAGACTTGACCAAAGCGCTTTACACTAAATTCATTCACACACACACTCACACACTGATGGTGGCAAGCTACATTGTAGCCACAGCTGCCCTGGGGCTCACTGACAGAGGGAGGCTGCCGTATACTGGCGCCACCGGGCCCTCTGACCACCATCAGTAGACAATGCAGATTTATGCTGATGATATACTGATAAAACTGATTTATAAGTGGAAATCTGGGATTATTGAGGCCTGTTTGAATGAGGGCGGCCATTTTTGTTGCATTAATGGCAACTAGAAGATTCAACTAGAGATTCAAAAATGTTTGCCGGGTTTTTTTTTTCTCTTCTCCATGTAAATACGTATATAGTTTTGCCTAAGAATTATTCCACAATTGGCACTGCTAAGCACCAGGTTGGAGCATGGAGCACAGTAAACCAACAATCTTTGTAACAAGACTGAGCCTGGACAAACGAACCTGTTACAGTGGAAAATATAAAAACATATCTGTAGTGAAAAAGTGAAAAAACTTAATTAAATCTAGCTGGTAGAATATTGCTATGTTAACACATTTACATTTAATTGGTTGTTATGAAGCAGATAATTTCCTTTTTTTGTGTTAACTAACTCTTTCTGTCTCGCCTCAGTCTGGAGAAATCGACATAGTAAACCACACCACAGGAGATCGCTGCCACCTGAAGTTTGCTCCCTACAGCTACTTTTCCCGAGACGTAGCCAGAAAGGTCAGGAAGACACAGAAGCACCTTTACATAGCAAATCCTTTTTTTTTTTTTTCCCTGCTTTTGTTACTTTGAGCTGCGTGTCCTGTGTTTAAAGGTGACGGGGGTAGTGATGGATAAAGACGGGAAGGCCCACTACGTGCTGTCGGGCACATGGGATGAGAAGATGGAGTTCTCCAGGGTCATGCAGAGCAGTCGAGGAGGAGAGAACGGCGCCGAGGGCAAACAGAAAACGGTTTATCAAACCCTCAAGGCCAGGGAGCTTTGGAAAAGACACCCTTTACCGTAAGGACTTATCTTTTGCAGAGCTTTGTGAAGCCTGTCGTGCAAGGTCAGAGGTGATGCATAGCTAAACATTTAATAACTGTTGTTTATTTGAGCCACTTCTTTTGTGGAGTTAATTATAGGTTTTACTGCACAACCTTTTAATAAATCCTGAAGGTGAAAGTTTAGTGCCAGCACGAGTCACTGTCACAAAAATGATTTAAGTTTAAATCATTTTAGCTGACCAACTAAGTTACAATTGAGCCTGAAGTATCAAAGTAAAACAGAAAAATGACAATTCATTGCACACTAATTAAACAATGTTTTAACTTTAAGAAGGAAATCACACCCTTACATTTCATTGGACTACCTAGCTTTATTTCTTATGTATCAGCAATGAGTTTATATAGTATTAATAGACACATGCAGCAGTCGTGGCCTATTTATGCTGACCTAGATAGATCGTCACATATTTTAAAGTAGGATTGGCCACCTTACGTCTACAAAGAGCTATTTTTCCTGGAGTACTATTTCCAAGTGGATTACCAATTGTTATAGTCTTAATAGAGAAAATGCGGCACACATTCTAACATGCGTGAGTAATTAGTGTCATTACAGATAGAGATCAGAATGTACAGAACTTAAAAAGGATAAAATACTCTGGGATCAAACTCATGGCTCTCACCTTCTCAACAATCAATGTTAGAAGTGTGACTGTACAGAACTTAAAAAGGATAAAATACTCTGGGATCAAACTCATGGCTCTCACCTTCTCAACAATCAATGTTAGAAGTGTGACTGTACAGAACTTAAAAAGGAAAAAAAAACAGCTGTGAATAAACACCTGCATCTCTGGATTGCACGTAGACTGATAGGAAGGTTGAAAGGTAGAGGAAAGTCCAGTTTCTCAGGTGGCAACAGTATCTCTAAATGTGTCTGTCTCGTTATCAAAGAGCAATGTCTCCTTTTTTACTCATCAAACCTTGTTATATATTCTAGTGGAAGCGTCATGATAATATAACTTAATTTACTAGAATCCATTGCTACTCAAACTTTGTTTGACTTCATGGTCAGCAGAATGTTGTGGTCTCCTTCCCTCAGCCTTAAAATCCAGGGTTTATCCAAGAATCCTGCACCAGAATTGTCTTCTCACTAAAAGATGACTCAAAAGAAATCAATGTTTTTATATATAGTTTCTTGTTAGACAGCATGAGTCAAGGACAATCTTTGAATTTCTTTGAACAACAAAAGTTGCCTAACTTTTTGTTTGTCTCTACAAAGACGTAAAGTTTTCTGGTTCCTAGCCTTGGTTGTTTGAGGTTGATTCACATAAATATAACCTAAAACAAGTCTAACAGCTCAAGTGTAAATAGTTTGCTACCATCTGATTTATGCCATGATAGGCTGAAGTGTTTGTATTTGCAGCGACGGAGCAGAATCCATGTACTACTTCACCGCTCTGGCTCTGACCCTGAACGAGCCCGAAGAGGGGGTGGCGCCCACCGACAGCCGGCGCAGGCCCGATCAGCGCCTGATGGAGGACGGTCGCTGGGAAGAGGCAAACGGCGAAAAACAGCGGCTGGAGGAGAAGCAGCGCAGCGCCCGGCGTGAGAGGGAGCGAGAGGCTGCGAGCCAGCGGGCCTCAGGCCAGTCCGAGGAAGGTAAGAAGAGAGCGCGCTAGCTTCCTGGTTTGGGTTTCTATACGGCTATCTTTGGGGAAAACCTGTAGCTAATTAGATAAAAACAAATCTCTGTGATCCCGCCCTTCTCTCTTCTAAAAGCTGTCGATGAGGATTCTTTTGTTGATCACTCCATGAAAAGCAAGTATCCCTCTTCTATCTGCCCACAGTCACTACCTCCCCCCCTCTTTCTATATCTATAAAAATGTCCCCCACACGTTTTCACAAGCCGTCTCTCTTACAGGTGCACCCCATGACACCCACAAAGCGCTGTGGTTCGAGAGCTGTGAGGACCAGATCACAGGTGAGCGAGTTCACATCTACAAGGGAGGCTACTGGGAGGCAAAGGAGCTCGGCACCTGGGAGGGCTGTCCGGACATATTCTGACCCCTGAAGCGCTCTGATTGGACTGAAGCACATCGCAGCCGCACGGACGGCTCCACAACGTCCCGATTGTCCCCCCGCTTGGCGGCTGCTTCCCTACAGCGGCTCTCTGTTCTAAGAGAACCACCCCTTCACCGCCACCTTCACCATCCCCCCGGATGGTCGCTGTTGTCTAAGAGGCACAGAGACGTAGAAGGATCTGGCCTTCTACATCCTACCAAGTCTCAGAATCGGTATCCCCTTCGTCATGTAAACAAGAGGACTGGGAACGATTTATCATCTTTTTCTTTTGTTTTTTAGGTTTCTTAGTTGGCTCGGTGCGGGCAAATAAGCAGTGCTTCCAAATTAATTTGAGTCTGTGTCCAAGTCAGATAAGAGGCTTCTCTTTCCTGTGTGATGAAACAATCCACACAGCACCATCTAGTCTGGTCGTAACGCTAAGAAAAAATAAATAAATGGGTAAAACCTGGCTAATATATACAGTTATATTTAAATATGCTTAAACTTTGATTGAAATGTCAACTGGTGGCCTTGGAAATGTTTCTGTTTCTCTCTGATTTAGTGTCTTAATATAAAAAAGTGAAGGTTTGCTTGTTGGTGTGCTTGTGAGTAAGCCATCCTATATGCTGTTTCATTTCTAAAAATTCCCAGCTGCCATGGATCACAGTGTGCTGGAGAAAAGACTTGATCTTCTAGAACACTTACTGACCATCAACACTGTCATTTTATAAATGGAAGATTTTTTTTTAACAAGGACTAAAGGAAGATAAAACTGTAAAAATAAGAATCATAACTCGGTTACAAGGTTTAAAGATGTATCGCCTTAAAAAAAAAAACAACCATCCTGGTCTCATCCGCTGTGTCGTCTGATAAAAGAACAAAATACCTGCATTCATATGTAGTTTCTTGTACAAACATTTTAAAAGTTTTGGAAATTAACAGCAGGTTGGGTATTTTTTTCACTTGCATCTCACTTAAATATTTCTATTCAGTGCTGAATAAAAATAGGAATGATGGGTTTGTAAAGTTTGGGTACGCAAAGGAGAAGTTAAAAACAAATATTTGAGGTGAAAGTAGATATAACAACCCCCCGCCCCTCCCCTGTTTGTCTGCTGAGGAGTATTGTTTATATGCAAGTTTAATTTAACACCAAAAACAAGTCAAAATGTTTCCTCATGCGTTGGTGTGTGTGTGTGTATGGGTGTGGATTTAATAAATTTGTAAGTGTACTTAAAAATGAAGAATTCAGACACAAAGATGTGGCGGATCACAATGAATTTATACATGTATAGAAATTCACGTTCTAGTGTTGACAAATGTAGGTTTTTTTTTTTGTTTTTTGGTTCTTGTAAAGTGGGAGGACTGTCTTCATTTTTCAGAGAAAAAGGGAATTATGTACTTGACTCAGAGTAGGGACTTGACATTGTTCAGTATTTTGTATTAATACAAAAAAAAATCTGTAATAAATACTGAAATGTCAAATATTTTCTCATTTTGATCTTTTATTTGATGGGTACATGTTTATTAAAGCAACGATGTTCAAACATATTTGAAATCTTTTAAATAAAAATGTAGTATTTTTTTATAACTGCATTATTTTCAGTATGATCTCGGCATAGAATATAATTTAAAACCCTTATTCTCACATATAAAGCCTTAAATGGCCAAGTTCCATCTTACATCAGAGATCTGATTGTTCCTTATGTTTCTAACAGAGCACTTTGCTCTCAATCTGCAAGTTTACTAGTGGTTCCTAGAATTTCTAAAAGTAGAACGGGATGCATACGTTTTAGTAATCAGGCTCCTCTCCTGTGGAACCAACTACCAGTTTTAGTTCGTGAGGCAGAAACCCTGTCTACTTTTAAGACTAGGCTTAAAACCTTCCTTTTTGACAAAGCTTATAGTTAGTGGCTCAGGTTATTCTGAGCTATCTCTATAATTATGCTGCTATAGGCTTAGACTGCTGGAGGACATAGGGACCCATTTTTCATTATTCTGCTTCATTCTATCTATTCTCCCATCCTACGTTCTGCTTTCTCTGCTTTTTCTCATAGTAGCTTCATTTGTTCTGTTCCTGTTTGACGGTGACGCCATCCTGGACAGAAATATCTGCTGTGCTGCTGCCATCAACACCTTTATTTATAAATGTTGGACTTTGGCCTGTTTTTAAGTCTAGTCCCATTTCTCTGACTGACTGGCTTGCTGGATGTCCTCTCGTCATCCTCTGATGTGGGAGTTGGCTCGGAGCTCGTCTGCGAGGCTGTGTGTCTCCAGGACAATTCCGCCTGTGAAGCTGGTTGACAGTTGCTTTTTGTATCTCGGCTTCTTTCCTCTTGAACCCCAGTCGGCCTCAGCAGATGGCCACTCACACTTAGCCTGGTTCTGCTGCAGGTTTCTTCCTGTTAAAAGGGAGTTTTGCTCTCCACTGTCGCTACAAGCATGCTTGGTTTGAGGGATCGCCTTCAGGTCAACATAGATAAACTGCCTAAATTAACTGAATTGAATTGTAGCTACATTAGCTTAGAAGAATGGTGGTGGACTCATTTGCAATTTGTTCACAAACCTACAGAGACAAACAACCACTCACTCTCACACCTAAGGAGAATTTAGAGAAGCCAATTAACCTAACAGTCATGTTTTTGAACTGTGGGACGAAGTACCCGGAGAGAACCCACATGCTCGGGGAGAACATGCAAACTCCATGCAGAGAGACCCTGGGTCGGGTATTGAACCCACAACCTTCTTGCTGCAAGGCTGCAAATGGAAAAGTTTCAGTTTCACCTGGTTTAAATTCTCAAAGAAAATAATTTTTAAGGAACCTTTTGCTACCGGAATGTTAACGAATTAATAAAAAAAAAATTAACAGATGAATCAATTTGCAAAATGATCATCAGTTGCAGCCATACTTGTATGTTCAACCAGACTTTGTTGATGAGTCCACGCTCATCAGCCCTTCCCTCTGTATCTGTGTACGATTAGGTTTTCAATAATCTTATCAAATTGAAATCAAAGCTATACATAAAAACATGTTTGAGTTGATCCCATAGGGATTTTTGAGGTGCCACTTGATGAACTGATTTTTGGTTTAACCTGTTTTATCTTCATCAGCTATACCCTTTCCTGTTTTGCTCCTAACTAGAGGAACTGTTCCTTCCTCTCCACGCATCACAGGCGTCACTCTTCTCTGTGTCATGCCAGCAGGTTTTAACTGAAAAGCCCGCTGGAACCTACCATCCTATACACGGAGCATATAGAGAAAAGGATGTGAAGGGAGGGTGGGGTTGTTTGGCTTGAACTCGCATCTGTTTGCGACCAGAGGAAGAGAGGGATGCTCTGTGTTTCCACTCTCAGGACACACCCTGGCTATCCTAGAGCGGCGCAGTGTGATTATGCAGGGCAACTGCAGCCTTGTACAGGGGGTGAGATGGGAATGCTGAATCAGTGAAACTGCATAAAAGGTACAGGAGAGTGTAAACGGGTGGGTAAATGGCAGGGAGAGAAAGGTAAAAGCTGGGGAATTTGTTGGAGAAAGATGAGCTGCATGATTCCTTTTCCCTCTTTTCATTAATAATCTATTCAGTGAACATTTTTACCGGTATTTCCCAAAGAAACTTTAAACCGAAGTTAATCTCAGTGGTGACTTTGTTCTAAATCAGCAGGCCTGAGAACCAAGGTAAGAGATTTTTCTTTCTGCTGTGCTGTGGCGTCCAAAGCTGATGTCACATTGGCCCGTTTTATTTCAACATTTCGGCACACAGAGTAAAACATGGAAATCACAACCACTTTAAACTCTTGTTAGATGCAGGTGGATGAGCCGTTGCTTTTGCCAAGGTTATCCCGAGTTGCTGTTTGTGGCGGGACGCATGGCAACGAACTGTCAGGAGTGTACTTGGTGCAAGAGATGATGAAAACACAGAAAGGGGGAGAGGACAGAGAGCCCGCGTCTGTGTCGATGTTGCTGTCCAACCCTCGGGCCATGCAGCATTGCCGCAGATATGTTGACATCGACCTGAACCGCTGCTTCACCCATGCAACCCTCAAGTAAGGCAATAATTTGGTTGCCAAAGCATCCTTTGTTTGTCACACCTACATATTTTTAGATCATCATCATTTTTGCTTTGGAATAGAGATATATTTCTGCTCTTTGTTGAATTATGAATTAAGTTTCATTTAATGAATTTTTATAAGGAAGCAGTGTTCTGTTTTACTGACCAATTATACCCCGAACTGTAGAATGAAGAACATAATTAGAACCTTTCCGGCAACATGAAGTGGGCAAACAATATAAGAAGAGATGATTTGAGCATCTTTTACAGATGATATTTAGTTTGTTTTTTCGAGGTTTAACATCCCAACTTTAAGTCACAGTGTTGGGAGTTTGATGCAACCCCCTTTGCATCTTCAAGACCTGGACGACTTGCCATAAATGATTGAACCTATTGCAGAATTTCTGGTCAGCATTTTGAGATCTTGAGGTCAAGATTAGGCTGCAAAAAAGGATCAGAAACACTCCAGGAAGTCTGAATTCTTCAAGTTTGAGACACAAAAGGTTTTGAAGTAGTCTGGTCAAAGTCTGATTTAAATCGGTTGAGATGATATAGCATGACTTCATTCACTCCTATATATGAAAACCATTGAATAGGGCTGAATGAACATTTTATTACAACACTCTTGGTTGTTGTGGTAAAGTTTTTTGTGTGTGTGTGTCCTAGTGGCCCCATATCAGAGAGGGCCCCCTATGAAATCATTCGGGCTCGTGAGCTAAACGCCATGCTGGGTCCCAAAGGCAGCCGGGCGGCAGTGGATCTCGTCTGTGACCTCCACAACACCACTGCCAACATGGGCCTGTGCTTCATCGCCTATTCCGACTGTGACTGGATCTGTCTTCACATATTCAAATACCTGCAGGTAAACACACGTTACTTTTTCCTCACTTTTAACCACAGAAAGATGAATGGAAATATAAGTGGAGAACTAGCATCTAGACCTACTCAAAAGTTTTCCAAGTGGTCTTAATGCCATTGTTGATAGTTGTCAAAGAACTCAAGTTTTTTATGTCTTTTTTTCTCCTTTTCTGTCTTGTCCTTGTAGCTGTTCATAATTTTATTGTTCTTTGAGCTTAAATTAAGAAGTCGAAAGAAATTGAGCTGGGTTCAAAAATGAAAAATAATCGCAGGGCTGAGTGATACGGCTTAAAAATCTAATCCTAGATGTTTTTTTTGTACTAAAGTTGTTTTATTTGTATTTTTCTCTCCCTTAAGTTTCATGACAGATAACATGCATCACTTTTACACCTGGGAGTTGCAGCTCATGGTATACTTTAGTGAGATATTTTATTAGTTATGAGATGTGATGAAATTATGTAACTCTGAGCTTTGGAAGTCCAAGGAGTGTATTGGTGGAAAAATTTTAGATTTTCCTAAAATGAAATCTTCATAGACAGCAGCTGGTTATTTGGCTTCTGGACTTCAGGTTTAAAGTCTTTTGACTCTTTTCAATTAGTTTATGTTCATTAAAGGTACAGTGTATAATAATTACAGGGATTTACTGGTATAAATGCAGTAAACTACCTATATATATATATATATATATATATATATATATATGTTATTTATTATTACCTAAGAACTAAAAGTCTCAGTCTTTATATTTGCCTTTGCCTTAGAAACTGCTATTTATAATTACATAGGAGTGAGTTTGCATTTGTGGAGGCAGACATCTTTTGAGCTACGGCAGCACAGAACTGACAAACTAGTGACAGTAGAAATCACCATTACACTTAAATGGGACTGTGGTAAGTTATAGGCCTGTATACAGACCTACACAGACCAATAAAATACTATTTATAAAATTATTTGTGTAAACTAGACTTATACCGACCATGACGGGCAACTGCCCATTTATTATAAATACGATCAAGCCTCTATTGTTGCGTTTGTCATTTTTTTTGAGCAAACTCGCATCTTTCTCCTGCACATAGTCCATGTTAGTTTTGGTCAGAGTGCCCAAAACGGGGATGAATCACCTGGACGACAGAGGTAGGGTGAGACGGCGTTCAAGAGCTCAGGCAGGAGCAGCGGGGAATCCATGTGAGAACAGCAGCTGTGGGAACTCCATAACTGGGACAAGCCGGCCAGCTATGCTGCCCTTTTTGGCTAATGAACCACAGAAGCAGTGGTGGCAGCTTGCCGCCACCAACTAAGAAAGAGCTGAGGAGCACAACGGCAGCTTGGAAACAGCACTGATGGCCCAGAAGAGGCTAGAGCTGGCCCTGGATAACTAGAGGCTAACCACGGAGGATCGAAACAGAATGGCAGAAAATCGGATCAGTCTGCTTGGCAGGGAAAGGTCCAAAGGCTGGGTAGACTGGCTACGGCTTATCATGAGGAGGACGGCATGACATGGAAGGACCCCGCCAGGGTAATAGAGCAGTAAGAGGCAACAACAGGCCAAGGCTAGACTCTAAAGGCTAATTGATGGATATAAACGGAGGATCATAGGAGACGGTGGGCAAATTGAGTGGCATAGCAGGATGAGAGGAGGGATCAGTTGTTCCCTGTCCCTACTGGAGGTAGGATATGAAACAGTCCTTCTAGGGCTAAATTAGACCATCTTTTTTTTAAAAGCCACCAACCTCTCAACAGCATTTCCCACTTTAACCTTCCATTTTGATTTAAAAAAGCTCGTCTCAGCGGCTACCTTAACTTAAACAATGGTCAATCCATGATATTTTCATGATGTATTTGAGAAAACAATATTGAACAATTTATGGATTTGATGCTGCAATCTGTTGTAATAAACATCATCTTCACTTGATGCGGATATTGCGGAAGGCATTTTGCAGCATGATGGCCTCTGTGTTGTTTAAGGGTGTGGGGGGTTCATGTGGCAGCAGTTTGACCATTAGATACACATTACACATTGTAGCTTTCAATTTAACCATTTAGACTAGTTTTTAACTAATATCTCTTTGTAAACAAACTTGTTGATACTAAAATATGAGTTAATGCCTGATAAACAGTGTTTTAGTTGGTATTTACATTAATAGTAAAGTTTTAGTTGCAAGGTGGCTTTTCTGCTTTGAGGAGAGCGTGTTTGTTTTCACTGCATAAGCCCTTTGTTCGAGGTATGTTGCCTTTTTTCTTGTGCTTCTGATGAGAAAACTGATAATCTTTGGTGATTGTATTCAAAACAAGACAGCTGATCCTGGCCAACTTCAGTCAATATCGCTATTTCTGCTTGGCTCTTCACATGTTTAAAATATTGTAAGTCAAATGTTGTCTTTACATCTAACCAAACAAACAGGAACAACCTGTGCCTTTGTAACTGATTGTAACATATTGCTGACAGATACAATTTCAAACTGGTTCTATGCTATGCTGTCTAAGTCCACTCATAACAGATAGCTTTGCAACCTACTGGTTCATACCTTATGTTTTTGTACGCCTTATTGATACATAGATTGATCAACAAATAAAAAATCTTCCTTGCACTTTGAATAAAAGTCTAAAGTTGAGCTAAGTTCTTCCTGCTTTCTGCAGTTTCCTAAGCTAAATAATTCAAATGTCAAGAATCGCTCCAATTTAAATTCTTAAGCTTTCTAAACTTTTCTTTCCAATCTGATCTTTCCAATTTATTTTCACATGTATTGGTACAGGCCAATACCACAATGCATCAGTTGATTCATTAACATTCAGCAGCCATGCCTCGAGATAAAATAAGCCACGTGTTTCTTCTCCCAACATCTGCTTTTGTTAATGTTTTCAGTAATTATTATTTTTTTCTTTTTAAGAAAAGCTTCTGTAGCTTTTGTTATTATGGTGTCATTTTTATCCCGCAAATAGAGAAGCCAAAATATTTGATCCCAGAAAACCTGGCAGCACAGATGATAAAAATAATAATCATATCTGCATCGGTCTAAAGCAACCTGTATCAGATTATCTTTAACCTCAAATTAGATTGCTGGGATTAAAAACATCATTTTAGTTGTTACCTTAATGACATGATTGTTTAATTATGCAACATATTGATGACTAATAAAGCATAGGGTGGTTTTACGGACAGTGGGAAATACTTTATTTATTTATTTATCTTTAGTTATACGACTCGATCTTTATGAATTAAAAAATAATAGTTTTAAAATTGAAAAATGATTTTTTTTTTTTTTTACTCAGCCCTAAAGCTAATGATGCAAACTAACATGAAACTCTGGCTGTTTAAAGGGAACTTGTAAGAAAATGAGAAATACTCAATACTTGCTTTTTAGGAAGCTAGTCTGCATTCCTCGGTCCAGTGAGTGACCTGATTTAAATGGATCCTTTATTAGAAAACTGAGGTTTCATTTTTCTTTTAGAAGCAGATGCCAAATATGCCGATGAGATTCATCCATTTTGATATTCCTAATAAAGAATCATATTCCCTCGATTCAATCGGAAAACACGGCTTTGGTGAGTTTTTAACCCTTTGCTCTTAATATATAAATGCATCAAAACCCACTGAACTGACTTCCACTTTGAAACCCACCTTTTTGCAGCTATGGAGATCGGCCCTCAGCCCCACGGCTGTGTCAAGTCAAACATCTACACGGCAATGAAAGAAGGTGTGCAGCACATGCTGGACTGGGCAGGCTATTTTAACTCAGGTGTGTATAATGACCCCGGTTACCTGTATAGCTTTTAACAGCTCACATTCATACCCACAAAATTGATTAATTGTACTGATCTTACAAGTTAAAGTTAATTATCTTAGAGCTCACAGTCAAACTTTAGCGTTTTTACTAAAAGGTAACTATGCAGAGATACCCATCCTAACATCATGTTAGTATCATAAAATCCTCATTTTTGTTAAAAGAAAGCCTCGGTTTTTAAGGAAGTGGGGTTAAGACCCTTTTCTTCTCCAGGTTGTGTGTTTGAAGGAGGATCGGTGGAGGTGTTCACCTTGGTTAAAAACATCGACTACCCGAGAGAAGGTGGGACTCACAACATCACAGCAACCATCCATCCCTACCTCCAGGTAATTAAACATCTGCAAGCAAGTTGTCTTTCTATTTAGAAATTGCCTAGAGGTGGAATCAATGTAATGACTGCTGAGACAACACAGTGAGACAATTAGCTAGGAGGTTGAAGTTGAAGCTGCTATCAAAAAAAGGTCATTAGATGAGTTATGCTGGGAGTACCCTTGCAATTCAGCCCTGGAGGCATGTCTGTATTCCAGCTAATTATTAGAAGGAAGAAAACATGTTCTACACAATAGAAGCTGGAGCACTATTTCTTAAGGTTTAATAACTGGACAATGTTTTATTCAATATCATAATTTACACAATGAGCTAACAATCAGTTCAAATTACCAGGTTGTTCTAATTCTGTTTTGTTGATTTCTTCTCTGCTATGGTTCATGTTAAGTCCAGATTTTTGTGTATGTTTGGTGTACAGGATGTCAGCGGGGTTATAAAAGGTACGGAAATGTAAAATAAAAGATACGTAAATGTAATCTGATGTTTTTTTTTTTTCTTCTTTTTTTAATGATTGCCAAATTGTTTTTAATGTTACACCGAGCTAATAGGGCTCAATAAATGATAACTGGCAGCAACTGTTTGGGAAGAGTCACGAGAAAGACATTTTAATAACAGCCATGATCTGTTTGTCTGCGTGAAGGTAAGTCTTTGGTCTGTTTTAGCCTTACTTGTTACATTTTCAGATATTTTAATAACAGGTTAAAAAAAATTCTTGTAGTTTTTTTTTTTACTTTAGTTGTGATCCTGCCTCCCTTTTTTTTCTCTCCCCATTTTAAGGATAAATATTGCCTTTTGTAAACCCCCATACATTCATAATTTATTCAAAGTTTTTATGCATTTTCACTAATGATTATATTTTTGATAACCTTTCATAGATCCTTGCCTAGGTTTTAACCTCCGCTAAATGCATGTACCTGATATAAAGCTTTTCTTTTTTAATGCTGTGGTATTAAAACAACATTTTATAAACTGACCTAGGTATTACATTGGTTTGGAATATATAAAATGATTATTCAGGTAATTTTTCTGCACTTCTTAAAAACTCCTGCATAACTTAAAAGGGTTAGATCCATTACTAAATGATTCATGTGACCAAGAGCTGTGCTTTATGACAGCTTGAATCCCTCTTAAAAAGTACTGCACCAAAACAGACACTTACCTGCCTATATACACATTTGACTCTGATGTAGGATTTAATCTGGAGAAGTGAACATGACCTTGCATTACCAGATTCCAAAGCACAAAAGAAGACAATTTAATTTTGCGACAGTGCAGTGCAGCCTGTTGCCTTCAGGGGTGCTAAACCTCTATGCTACAGGTCCAGCGCCTTAGTGGCTAAAAGTGCTGCTTTAAATATGTTGCTCCAGCTTCCTCCCACAGTTCAAAAAGGTTAATTTTATTACACTAAATTATCTTTAGGTGAGATTCTGTGTGTTTTTGTGTCCGTTTTACTGTGATCTACTGGCCACCTCTCCAGGGACAGAGTTCCATTTATTCATAAATTCTCTCCTCTTGTTTTCACATACAGCTTAATCTCCTTTCAGTCAGGGTTTAAAATGTGGACATTTTTGTTTTTGACAGGACCGAGACTTCTGCCTGCTGCACCCCGGAGACCCTCTGTTCCAGACGTTCTCAGGAGAAACCCTGCTATATAAGGGCAAAGAACCACTTTATCCCTTCTTCATCAACGAATGTGCCTACTATGAAAAGGGCATCGCACTCTCCCTGGCCAGAAAGAAGACCGTGACCATCCCTTCTATCTGGGTGCAAACAGAGAAGGAGGAGGAGCAGAGCTTTACATCAGAGGAAGAGGAGTGAAGATGATGCGGAACAATTTTATGCAATGACTTTTTTTTTTTTATTAAAACAACAGCATTGTACAAGCCTTTGCTTATACGCACAAATATATGCATACAGGATAGATTCAGCTCACGTTCACAAACATCATGTGGGAACAGGATATTCAGGGATAAAGGAGCAGTTTGTGTTTGACATTTGGATCAGTTACATTTATCAAACAATGCCATTCAGAAATGACCTTAAACTTTGCAAAGCTTATCTGTCAACATCCAGCATTCTTTTATAAGCATAAAGATATTTCATTATCCTCCCAAATGTGTAGAATTCTTCCAAAAAAATAGATATTTTTTATCAATGTAAAACTACAGCAGGATATGATTTGAATAATTGTGCAAAGAATTTTAGTAGTTTTACTAGACATGTCCTTAAAGTACATTCAGAACTGATAGGAAGCAGACAAAAATCTCCCTTATATGTGATGATTTCCTTTTGGCAGCAAAAAACAAAAATACTGTTGAAAGAAATGTCAAACATAAAGTAGAGAACAAAACCACTAAAAGGTATTTTTATAAATAAAACGGGTCAGTAAAACAGCAGGTATCGTCTCACTACATGACAAAATTACATTTGTTTTCTACAAAATACGGTAAAATGTTACAGATGTGCATGAATAGGAACAAAAATCGACACTTTTTGAAGTATAAAGAAGAAATAAACCAGTTAAATAATGAAAAAAAAGCAATTGTGGATGTTTTGTGATAAGCAGCAATAGTCCTGTTGAACTTTTCAACGAACACAACTTTCCATGTCAAAGTGCCTGAAGTAAGGATTACGAAAATACTTCAGTGTTTGACTGGAGGCGTTTGTTCTTTTCAGAAATGTAAAATTACTGGTGTGCTCGCATAACTGAGCGGAGGACAGAGTTGTCATGTATGTCACTAACTTTGAATATGCAAAGCGTATCCGATATTGACAGAACAGTCTTCAATATTTACTACCCATTATTTCAGGCCGTAAAACATAATGTCCTGATCTCAATAAACTACGCTTCTCAATCAGATCTGAAAGACGCAGTTCTAGTCAGAATAATTTCTTTAATTATAGGCCTTTCATGAATTATTTGAACGGTTCTGTGTAGACAGGAGGCATTGCTCACAAAAATTAGTTTAAATCTACGTTTACAACCCCACTTATATGTGCGTCTCTTCGATAGCTGAACACTGACCACTGGCTTTTTGCAGCAATTGATTTTTTAACACAGTTCTAGCTTGATATTTTGTCCCTCTTCTTGAAATAATTGAAGGGAACTTAAACTGGTTGGTTTGGTAGCGCCAAAGCAACAGAGTTCCTGTTACGACTGTTTGTAGGTCCTCATCATGACCTTGATATTAGCTTTGTATTGTTTTAGATTCTGCATTACCCAACTTATTGTCTCTAGTTTTCAACAATCTAGCAAAACCGCTCCTCTGAAAAGGAAGAAAATAATTTTTCTTATCATTTTTTTTGTATGGTCAGAGACCAAGATCTCAATGCCTCTACAATTATAATCTGACTTTGTTTCATGCTGGAACCAATTGTCAAGCATGGTAGAAGCTGCATCATGCTGTGACAATTTTTTTGAACAATGCTAAATCCAATTTCTTACAAACAAACAACTACATTTTGGAACTTAACATTTTGGGGTATTTTCCACACAACAATGATCGTGTAACAGATATTTTGTTAGTTTTTACTGAAAAATATCTTCACCAAAGCTTTTTTATTCACTCCTTCAGGAGTAAAACATAGTTTGATGATGAAACTGACACCTCAGTAGTTCAGCGCAGATTGATCTATTATGTGGCCTATTTTCCTAAATGTAAAGTACCTGCACTGCCCAGATGTGAGGTCAAGTTTTTAGAAATGATTGGCAACCAGCTCAACTCAGACACCAATGGCAACTCCACATTAGGTGAAAGCAAAAAAAAAAAAAGCCTTAAGTCCGAGCACCGGCTACAATGACTAGAAGATAGCTGCAGTTATACGTTTTGACCAAAGGTGGCAGTATCATTAGAAAAATGTAATGCCTTTTTAAGATGCATCAAAACTAGATTTTTATCAATAACACAGGCTAAGATTAAGATATAGGGATTGCGTTCCTAAATATAAATTCTAAAAAAAATGTGAACTTTACCCAAAAAGTCCCATCCATCCCAAGCCAGCCTGCTTTTAAATAAAAGAGGAGGGATCACATATCTACAGTAGTCAGGATTAGAACAGAACGTTTTCAAGGAACAACCTGATAAGTGGTGTTTAATCACCTCTACAGTATCTCTGTAGAGTGTCTCTACAGTAATTTCAAATGTATACGCTGAATTCTTTTTTCCATTTGTTTTATGTTGTATTATCCTTAAACCAGGAAACAGAATAAATAAACACAATAAATAAAATACACAAATCATAACTTTCATGACAAAGGGGACCGCTGCTTGAAATTGAAATAAAATAAAATAAATTTTCTGAATGTTATTTTCCCCCTCTGGTATTTACAGTATGTCTACTGAGTAACGTTTACGCCCCTTAGCAGGTTCTGAAAACTAACCAAACGACATTGTCAGCTTGTTATCAGATGGATTTCAAAAGCATGCCCTGCTCTGAAAAAAAAACATAAAAATAACACAAAGGAGGTAGCAGCAGCTCTAAATAATACTTTAAGTGTCTAAATTACTGGAACGAAGCCACGTGAACGCTAATAAAAACACTGTACCGCAACAGAATTAGTGCATGGAAATCATTTTTCCTGTTATTTTAAAGCACACATTGACTTTACTATTGTACAGGCAAGGGAGTATGGCTACCCGTTCCTTTCCACAGCAGTAGTGATGCTTCTACGCATTTATTCTCTTGCGCAGGAGGGGAGATTTCAGCAACAATATCATTATAAACAGTTGGGATTTCTTAGGAAAACTTTGGCGCTATACACTGAACCTGACTTCACCATATTGTAATCTGACCTTTTGATATGATTTTAATATATACTTTATTATTAATTAGAGTGAGTTGATTGGAAACATCGCAGTAGAACATGCAATAGGTAGAGTGAAACCAAGTAAACGCTGAAAGCTTACTGGTTTCATAAATATCCAACAAAAACAAGCTGCTAAAAAAAAAGACAAAAGAAAAACTTAGGTTAGTGCGCTGGTATGTAGATGTTTGACGCCTCACATGACAGGCTTAAAATGCATACTTGAGAGCTTCAATGTGATTCAGGTCAGAACGTTAATTATTTTTCTCCCATTCTTCTGAGGGGCGTTTTCTTCAGTCTGCTGCAAGAAACTACACCTTAAACTTAGTCTCACATAAGAGTAGGAGGTGCACTTGGGTCTAACAGGTTTTTGATTAACTGACTCTTTTTCAGAGTTCCAATTTGATGACTTAAATTTGTTTGTTTTTTTATATTAGCAGCTCTAGAAAAAAATAAATAAAAAATGCAGCATACGTTAGGGTTTTTACTTGATATTGAATCTAGGATGGGATAAAAAAAACAAAACATATCCTTAAATATTAGTATGAAATGTATATTCTGGTGCCGGAGTTGTGGTATTTAAAATCTGAGATCTGAAGCACAATCTCTCATCACGCCACACGGTATGCAGTCATGCGGTAGTAGTTCTGGCTGTGGCTGCGTGCCGCCCACACCAGCAGTGCGGCAGCCATCATGTGCAGGGGCGAGGAGATGAGAGCCAGGTAAAGGGACCAACCCAGGGAGCCATCCACCTTGTCAGGGAGCATCGACACCCTGTGGAGCAGGTCCATCCCAGCCAGGTAGCAGCACACTGTTGCCAGGGTGCACAGACCTTTAAGGTACAGGATGACAGAGACGTGTTAGGGTATTTCTGAGCAAGTCATGGAGGGTACACCTGAGAAAAACATGCAGAGGTCTTCGGAGACATAAAAAAAATATAACCTGATAGAAAAAATATATTAATGTGCCTAAAAAACAATTTTCATTTTTTGGTAAATACGATTTCACACTACCGGCTTATAACTGACCAAGTCAAGAATCCAATCTACGACTAATGATGTTCTTATAATGTTCATCAACAACTAAAGCTAAACAAAACTTTGTACTGTAATCAACTCATGGGTGATCTCCCTGCTTTGCTTCCTAAAGAACAGCCTTCTGCCTCTTTGATTCGAACCATTTGAAGAGAATTAATAAAAAGAACATATAAAACATCAGAAATAATCAATATTCTAGCTTCAATTTCTGGTCCTGTTTGATTACCTGATTTAAAAAAAAATTAGCCAAAGAAATCTGTTTATTATATTTTGCACCGATTTCAATTGACATATATTCAATTTCTTCCCCATTAAGGTATAGAGCACAATCTTTTATTTCTGGGTCGATCCTCTAAATAGGTGCTCCTCCTAATGGTCAATCATTCTGGAGATATGTTTACTCAAGGCTGTCCTACGTGCTCGCCCCAGTTAGCTATATTTTTCTGCCCATGCGCACTTTCAGGTGTATATCTGTGGTGAGCTACGGTTTCAGACAATCACTGAAGTTCACCCTTCACCCTTCACCCAAAGTTATTTGAAAATGGCCAAGGGTCGTAATTGAAAAGGTGTATAGGAAGAGTATGAGAAGGAAAAAAAGGCCTCAGAAGAGCCAGATATATCCTGGAATGCTTTGCATGGACAGCTCTCCTGTCCACGCAAAGCATTATGGGATTTGCTGTCACATTAGCCCACTATTGCTACCCGCTACCATAAAGATGGAGCAGGCAACGTGTGATGGATGAGTTACGTGAGCAACCTAGCAAAAAGCAGAGATAATTCCATTCAAAATGGCTCCTGCCAGTCAAAAGCCAGTCGAATGGCAGCCCACTTCCCTGCAGCTCCCAGCCACTGGCCTTCTCCTGGGCATGCATATTTTTTTACTCCGACTCCACCCTTCTCTTTAGATCTTAATGTCCACACATCATGGCAAAAAGAACATTTTTGTACAAAGATTGATGTTTAAAAAGGAATTGTAGGGGACCAGCCAAGGGCCCATCAAGGAAAGTGGGGAAATTTTGAATGGCTACTATTGTAAGTTAACCGAGTTTGCAATAAGGTCTACTATAAAGTCCACTATATAGTGATTTAGGGGTTAGGGAGGATGTACGGACACAGTAAGCTTGTATTAGCTATGAGAACAGCAAGTTTTCAACAGAGTGTGCATGAGGAGACATGGGCTCATGCACACTCTCGCACAGGTTTAATAGGTGTTCCCCCTCGGGGGCTGGTACAGGGTTGTGCATTTTTTATTTATTTTTTTTTTTTTAAGTGGAGACGGCGGGTCTTTTAAGAAATGCCAGAAAATCCTCCACAACACTTAACTGTATCTTCTCTAGCACTGGCCACTTCATAAGTCCCACTTATGTGGTAAAATAAGATTTAAGCAACTTTTAACATGGCCATGTAATTGGCGTGTAGTTTTAATGTTTCAGAAACAGCTAATCTACTATTAATTGTAAACAGTGTTAATTGAGGAAGTATGTCCCCTAAAAAAGCCGTTGTGCCTCGGGGGCCTCCTCACCGGTTCTTTTCCTGGGAGCAAGTTATTTACTACTCTTAACTCAAACTGGGTAAAACCATATGAAAAAGGACTATAAACAGGAGTAAAAAAGTAAAAGTAATTAATCCAGATCCGGTCGTTACAGGACAGAGAAAATGCTTAGAGCTATGCACAGCTGTGGTCTCAAAAATCACGTCCGCGAGCGTCCGGCAAAGATTGAGCCCCGAACAATGTCATCTCCTGCTTCTTATAGCTCATGAGTCTATGTGTTGCATCATGTTGATGTTTAGCTGTCCGTATCAGAAACTGACACGCCATCCATGTCTTGAACTTCATGCAGCTTGCCTCTATGCCTCAGGGTTACAGATAGCTCTCCTCTATCAGTCCGGCTCCAAGATGTGCCCATATCCTGTGTATTTTTAAAGACACGATGGCTGTCCTGATTAGATGACCTCCGTACACACAGTGACATCCACAATGTGAAGGAAGGCCTTCTACTCTGTCTAATCTGGCTAACAGAATAACAATGCACATGATGTATAAATAATAAACCTAACAACAGAAAACAGAAGCAGGCAATTTCAATTTCGATTAGTATTATTTAATGTCTATATGATAGGGATAGATACAAAGAAACATGGAGCATTACCAAATTAACAGTTAAATAATAAATACCAATTAAATTACTATGTAGAGAAAATAATTCTTAAAATGTAACCGAGCAACCCATCACAAAATCTAAAAAAAGACTACAGCCCTGGTTCATCAGTTGAGTACAGGGAAACTAGCTGATAATACCAGAAAGGTACAGAGAAAACAATCTTAGAATTCCTGCCACGAAGCAAAAAGCCTCACAGTAATGACTTTAATGAACTCCGATAGGCAGCAGATCCCAGTGCAGCAGAGCTTTGGCATATGGTGGGATGAGAGATTCACCTTGCCTGATTTTATCAATACATGGACCAAAATCTCAGAGAAATGTTTGACAAAGAAAAGGCCAAAGGAAATCCAACCTGGTACTAGAGAGATCTACCTAACGATGCCTGTAAAGAAAACCTTTAAAAGTAATTTTGCATCTTAAACCCCTGTAGACTTTAGGAGTCCTATTGAAAATAGCTATAGATAGAACAGTTTGAATGAGTACTAGAAAGTCCCGCTTCTGGAGAGTGAACTAAAGCGGGAATGTGGGACTTTTTCTATAATACTCTACAAGAACGCAGGTGCATGAGAGAAAATGAAAAGGAGGTCACCTTTAGAAAAGTTCTTTAGTGACGTCTTAATTAGAGTCTTGCATGTTTGCTGCTGAGAGATGCAGTGCAACAGGTCTTACCAGCCAACAGGTGAAGAACTCCTAAACCCAGTGTAGGTGTGAGGGTCCTGCACAGGCAGGCGCAGAACCCAATGAGGCCCGCTAACACAACCAGACCGAGAGACGTCAGTGGCAGCAGAAACTGGCACCTCCACAAATCTTTCCATAGGAGACACATCAAAAACTGTTGTTAGTGAAGTACTCTGTGACAAGGAGATGCATACTGTCAGTAGGATTTTACTCAAAGAACAGAGAATGATTCTGGAGACGTACAGGTGCGGAGCATGTCCTCTCCGCTGTTGTGGTTCCCCGGCTCTTTGTATTTGGGGGTGAACTGCTCCAGCAAAGTGAAGTTTCGACACTCCAGCACCATCTTGGCATCTGAAAGAGTCAATTGCCAGATTTAATTGAGTCTTTTCTACCTTTTCACAAAAAACGTAGAGAATCTGGAGAGGATCTGTATGGAGGAGTGGTCTAAAAAACCCTGCTGCACTGTGTGTGCTTATCAAGAACTACAGCTGATATCTGTGACTACAAAGGTTTTTTTTCCGTATGTATCAAATACGCAGTCGAATACAAATAAATAACTTGATTGGAAAATTAGATTTTCTGAAAGCTGAAGAGTATAATAGAAATATAACAAAAATGTGAAAGACTGCAGGTTTCCATACTATCCAATCTTTGATGTTTTAAGTAGTCCCTTTTATTTTTTTACTTGAGCCTGTCAGACTTTATAGACTTTTTAGACCAGGGGTGCTATAATCCACTCCTAAACAGCTACCATCCTGTAACGATTAGATGCATCTCTTCTCTAACACACCTGAATCGAAAGACTCAATACCCTCCTTTAGCCCAGAAGCATGGTAACGAGCCACTCATTTGATTCAGGTGTGTTAAAAACGGGGTGCATCAAAAAGTTGCAGGATAGTAGCTCTTGAGGACTGGACTTGAGCACCCCTGCTTTAGACTGTGAGTCCTAGATAACAAAGGTTTATTTATTTATGTTAGGTGGTTTTGTGTAAATCCCTTTAATGTACCTTTATGGTCTCATAATGGGGAAATTCACTCTCTGCAGTTGACCCATCTGCTTGGTGAGCAGTGAGCTGCCATTGTGTGGCGCCCAGGAAGCAGTGTGGGGTTAAGGGTCTTGCTCAGGAACCAAGCTGTGGGGATCAAACTGGGTGCTTGCAACCTTTTCATAACACAAGCGCACTGCTCTAACCCACTTTGTATGTTTAAAAGAATTTTCTTCTGTCTATAACAAACATTAATGTCTGGTAAATATTGCTTGAATCTGGCTGTTTATTTTGGATAATATTACATTACAGATAAGATAGTGTTATATTGTCTTTTATAATTGTTAAAAGTGATTTTATATTGGAATAAAGGCTCATTCTTGTGCTTTGTAGATGATGCCACTAAAAAAGAAAATAGACATAAAGAGCTATTTAAACAGTTAGACAGTAAGCAAATCAATCCACATATAACAGACATATTTAGACTATATTTGGTTAAATAGGCACTTATTTACCTACTGTCTAGGTTTATATGCAAAACTTTTTAAAGTGGAAAAACGTCCTAATTCCACATTCATCAGAGCCAGTGATGCTTTAAACATTGATAAACAGCATCTAGTGTGTAGTGCTTATAAGATTTGTATTAATGTGGGAAGAAAAGCTGCTGTTCTCTAAACAAAATGTGCCCTGATGCTCACATTAAGCATAAAAAAAGAGCATGCATATTTTTGCATAGGACCAATGACATAAGACCAATGAAACTGAAAACTAATAGTGTCCCTACCAAAGTTTGATTAATGTAGTGTGTTATGATGAGAAAAACAATGTTTTTTCAATATTTAGAGATCAATTCAGTTTCATTTAAAGAGGAAAATGAAATAAAAAGGTTGCTGTGTAACATATGACTTTTAAGTTCCTGGAAATGGGAATAAAACACATCCTAGATTTATGCTGAAAGATTATTAAGGTTGCCATACCCGATTGATCTCTAATTAAGCCACCATAAATCACATGTTTGGGGTTTTTTTCTTGGCAGATTGAAGGAACAGGTGATTCATGCTTGAAGATGAAACCTTAATGAGTGACAGCTGCCGGGTTCCTGCGCTGCGCTGCAGGCTTGGAGCGCCTCAGGGCCTCATACCTGGCTCCTTGATCCAATGCGCGTTGGGTGGGACCAGCACGCACCGCCACCACAGGCCCACGGTCCCGTTGAGGCGGAACAGCGTGTCACTGTAGGTCTTCTCGTCGAACTCCCCACTCATGAACTCTTCGTACAGGGAGCGCAGCTCCGACACGTTGGCCTCTCCACGCACCGTGGGGCTGCTGTACTGGTACCAGTGCTGCGTGCCGATGGCCACAGACAGGTACACCGTGGCCAGGACGCTCAGCACGCAGGCTATGACCAGAGCGGTGGCGTAGCGGTTATCCACCATTGTGTTCAATTATAGAGAGGATTAAGAAAGGGACGGTGGGCTCAGATCAGGCGGTATATGGACGTATTTCTGTTCTGCAGTTGCCCCGTCACTCCGACATAATTATCGGGTAAAAAATAAATGAACTCTCGTAGAAATAAAGCAAACTGGTTGTTTTAATGATGGCACCTTGTATTTGGTGCAAGACAAAGCCCCGCAGCTCGGCTTGGATGCGCCATCTGCTCCGTTGTCCCACTTCCACAGAGGGTGGGTGGCCAGACCCTGCACTCCCAGTCTGCAATAACAGCCCCCCCTCAGCAAAAAAAACAAAAACAATCGGTCCTCCGTCATAAAATGCTATATACCTCCATGATTAAGCGAATCTTATGAGGGGAGCTTTGTTTAAGGATGCCCAGTGCGCCCAAGATGCTGGATACACACATTAATCCTTGGGTTTTCCTTTTCCGGTTAACCATTTATGGTAAAGACGGCGACCATACCAAAATAAAACCCTCATCAGATTCCCACACACTGAGATGAACCCAGTATTATGGAAGACGATTAGGGCCACTATTAAAAACAAAAAAAAACAAACTGATTTTTAAATTTTATTTCAGTTTAATAATGGAAAAAGTCAGAATTCTGAGATTTTTTTTTCTAATATTATACTAAAAGAAAATCTAAAAATCTGTTAACCTAAAGCTGGGGGAAAAAAATGTTTTTCTACTGCATTTTTGCACCACATATATTTGTTTTTACACTGTTCTGAACTTAAATATTAATGCCTTTTAAGGGCAGTGACCATACCAAAATTAAATCCTCACTGGCTCATCAGATTCCCACAAACTGAGATGATCCCAATATTACGGAAGACAATTAGGGACACTGGAAAAGAAAAGAAAAAAAAAAAAAGTTAACTGATGTTTAAATTTTATTTCAGTTTAATATGGGAAAAAAGTCAGAATTCTGAGAAAAAAGTCAGAATTATGTGATTAAAGTTAGAATCCTGAGAAAAAAAGTTTTTTTTAATTTATATTATATTGAAATAAAATCAAAAAATCTGTTAACTTAAAAAAAAAATTTGGTAGCCCTATTCCTCTTCCGTACAGTATATATTTACTGCATGCACTTATTTATTTTCTGAGGAAATTGCCTAATTTCAAAATTACTAAACTAAACAAAATTTTTGCCCCACATATATTCTTTTACACTGTTCTGAACTTCAATATTTTGCACCATGTTTTTTTTTTTTTTTACCCACAGTGCTAGTAAAGATTCTCAGTCATCCAGGTCATAGTCTTTCCAAAAAGGTTAAAGAAGCTAAACATCAAACCCCCAGACCTAAGATGAGTGGAGTGGTGGGTGCACTTTAAAGCCGGGCTTACACTGTGTGATTTATTTTTTCTGCCCTTTTCCAGTCGTGCAAGAATTTTTCGATCGGGCCAACTTTCAGCCTGGTCATGCGTCATATAGTGTACATAGGGTAACAAGGGGCCATCAGCCTCCCACGACCACTTCCTGATCAGGAGTCGTGAGGTCGGGAGAAAATCAGACATGTTTGATTTTCTCCCGACCGTCGTGGGCAAATTGCTCAGTGGGCATGCGCAAACAAAAATTCTTCTTTTTCTCCTTTCTTTCAGATGTAAACACAGAAGCATGGTGCAATGAGTGAAATGGAGTTCTGTCTGCAAAATTGACAGACCGTAGTAGCCACGTTTGCTCAGCCATGTCTTTGTCCAAAAACGTTGCTGCCTTTTCTTTTTAGGGCTTTCAGCACAAAATTGCACAAATTGCCAAGGCAACGCGGTTCACTATAGTGAGCTTCAGAGTCCTCTTCTACTCATTTGGCTTCTGGATAGATGAGTCAGAGTAGCTCCATCTCACTGCGGAGCTGAGTCAGATGTGGTTTTTAGATGTACAGTGTGAGCAGGTAGATCGCCTCAGAGCATCAGGCTGAACATGCATGAGCTGTGTGAGCTGTGAACTGACACTTTTTGCAGGTAACTCTGCGGTTTCCTCGTACAGAGTAAGCTGTAGCCACGTGCAACGATTGAAAAATATGCCCGGCTTAATGCAGTGAGGGATGCTTTGATCTTTATATTAGAGAAACCAAACAACCTCTCCACAGAAGCATGGCTCAACTCAGGAGAGCTACCTCCTCAGCTGCAAGGCAAAGGACATTCTTTTGAGGAACAGAATGTTCACATTTTGGACAAAGAAGGTGGTTTTGACAGGGGTGTGAAGGAAGTAATTTATGTTAAGAGAGAAAAAACAACCTTAAACAGAGGGGGTGGGCTCAGGTTCTAGCTCTCACAAACCTACAATGCAGCAATAGAGTTGATTCCTTCCCGCTTTCATCTCAACCCCCATCACCACGCAGGGGACCCTAATGACTCCTCCCCTTCAGAGGCATAGACCAGTATCAAGTATTGTATGCTAACAAAGAACCCAAATGACTCACCGTTCCTAAAGGGTGGACCTGTTCTTCTGGTTCAATTTGCATGTTTTCTAAGCCAAAACAAAGCTTTGTTGGACTACTCAATAAAGCTTGGAACTAAACCCTAATTCTGACATTTTAAATTGAAAAAGCTTCCTGGATAGGAAGCGAAATGTCTTCAAACTTGGAAAATAAAGTCCAGTGTACTGTTTTTAACTTTTAACTTTTTCACTCACACTGTTTACATACAATCACCACTGCACATAATTAAATAAAAATTTTCATTTCACTGCTAAACTGCTGCTCATTTACTGTCTGAAATCTGTATAAACAAAATTTTGTTTTGCATACACTCTATGTATATAAAATGAGAATAAATGTTGTCCAAGTCTAAGTAAGTCTGAGTAATATGTCTAGCAGGGGCGTTTCCATGAAAGGTGGCCAGATTGGAGGCATCTGAAAATGTATATTTTTGCCTACATAGACTGAGGGAAATCTCGGTAAAACGTGGTGTTGAAGCACTAGGTTTCCGACATACTTTTCTTTCTAGTGAAGTAAGAGATAATGGAAGATATGCATTAACATTCATGATTTTAAAGCCATTTAGTACAAATAACTTAATATCAAAGCTCATCAAAGTGGGTCATTCTCTATCTTAGATTAATGGCAAATAAATTACAGGATACTGACACATCTAAACCCTTCAGTGAGTCAGGTTCCTTCTATAAAAATGTAAAAAAAAAAAAATGGAGAGAGAACATAATCAACAGTCAACATGGCCAAAGGGTAACTGGAAAGAGGGCCCTTTGCTCTTTCGTCCCTGAGTTCAACTTAAGAAAAATCCATGAGCACACACAATGAGATGAGAAATGACAGACAACTTGAAGCAAAATCAACCAAATGGAATCCAGACATCAGTACAAAAGAGAAAAAGCCAAATGAGAACAAAACTTATAATAGGTTTAAAAGAGAAAGGGAAGTTCAGTCATATTCCTTTATATTTATTCAAAAGAAAAACATTTGATCTAATTTTTTGTAGATTACATTTTCACCATGTGAGAAATCTAACCTTTATTCATTTTATTTCATTTTTCAAAACCACTCTCTCACAGAATTACTTTGCAACAATGTGAGCTGACTGGTTTAATTGGTATTTTAAGGAAGAAAGCGACCCACTAAAGTGTATGTACATTTGAATTTGAATTTCAGAGCATAGAAAATGATTGACAGGAAGAGAAAAATGGCTGCAGAGAGAAGATGAGCATGTTCTGGTTACAAAGGAAGGTGGCAGGTTAAAAGACAAGTTTGCTTCGTGACTTAGTGAGACTCCCAAATTTAATCAAACAAACTAACTCATGTTTACCGTTGTCTTGAAAATGCATTGAAGCACAGATACTTTAACATATTTTGACGTGACATAAATTTTTTTTAACCTTTATTTCTTTTTGTTTATCTTTTTGCCGAAACATGTTATAAGTATATGCTGAACTGAAAGTGTCTTGTGTGCTTTAAAGGTCGTTAAGGAAAGTAAGTCATGACATTTGTCTGTGTTGCTGCCAACAATGTCAGGCAGACAGTATTTAGTGGTGACAGATGTATAATTAGTAACAAAGAGATCCTTCTTCTAAATAAACACAAAGCCTTTCACATACTGTATCTGCCCAAACCTGATCTGCTTGTAACAGTGTGTTAGCCTTCCTTACTTTTCGTTTCCACTCAGCATAAATCTTACAGATTCATTTTAGCTATGAAAACCATGACTGGATAAAATAATACAACACAGTTTAAATTCTTTATTCATTTTCCAAAGTGAAATTTTAAGTATATACAATGATCACTCAGGTTTTAAGTAATGCTTTTTGATGCGGTATGTAGATATATCATCATAAATATTATTTAGTGAGGCATCCATCACCAATAGATGTTCTTATCTCAAAACCCCCCACATATTATGCAGACATTTGCTGTTTGCAAACCTTCATAGTGAACCATTCACCTGAAGTACAAATTCTACTTATCACACGCCCAAAGCTAATAATTACACTAGAAGCATGAAAATGTTGTATGGATATTAAACTGTAGCAGAAGAAATGTATTTTTTTATTGCAGTCCGACAATTTGTGTTGTCTCCCCTTACTTACTTACTTTATACATACAATATCCTTGGGTTTCTTGAACAGTGATTTAAATAAAATGTTTTATTATTATTAACCATTGTACTAACATGTACATGCCTGACATAAGCTGTGTGAGAAAAGATAGGATATTGAGAATGATCTTCAGGCTTCTTTCATCTCAAGCTGTAAATGGAAATATAAAGCATTAGTTTCACAATAACCAACTTGCTTTTGACAAATTATCTGAATGATATGTTATTCGTACTATACACTATATTACCAAAAGTAGTAGTCTACTATATCTACATTTATATTAACTTTGATTATATTCCAATCTTAAAAGTTCCACTTTGTTGATGGACCCCACTGATCTCTATTTTTTCACTGGATTGATGATAGACCAAAAAACTGAAGTCACCTGCCACCATCTTGGTACTCCCCACTCTCATGGAGTCACACCATGGAAATGCCTAAATGTATAGGATTTGGGTACAAAACGAAGAAGTTTGCTGGCTCTGGGAAGTCTTTTTACAGGTAATTTTACAGTCAGTGGATGTGCTAAGCAAGGAAATCCATATATACCCCAATGTATTCCATAGTATAGTCTGTAGTGTAATTAGTCTGGCTAACTTAGACCGACTCGAAGACATTAACTGAGTTAGCTATCGACATTGTGTGTAATGTTAGAAAATAGAAAGTAGAGTGAATAGAAAGTAATTCACTGTGAAAAAAAGAAAATATTTGAATGTGAAATCACACCACATGTGTAAGTTATATTATTAAAGGTATTCAATCCCACTCCACCGACTACTACCTGGTGGTGAGTTGCCTCAGATGGAGGGGGAGGACCCCGATCAGACCTGGTAGGCCCAAACACATTGTGAGGATTTGCTGAGAACGTCTGGCAGATTCTCATATGAGAAGGAGCTTTAACTCCAACCACGAGAGAACTTTATACACATTCCGAGGGAGGTGGGGGACATTGAGTCTCATTGGACCATGTTCCATGCTTCTATTGCTGAGGCATTCTATTGCAGCTAGTCGGAGCCGTGGCTGCAAGGTTGTCGTTGTATGTCGCAACAGCTGGTGGACACCAGCAGTTAGGGAAACTGTCAAGCTGAAGAAGAAGTCCTATCAGGCTTTATTGACCTGTGAGACTCCAGAAGCTACTGATATGTACCAAAGGCAAAAACTCGGGCATGGGAAGAGTTCGGAAAGGCCATACAGAAAAACTTCACATACAGCTCTGAAGCAATTCTGGTCCATAATCTGGCATTTCAGGAGGAGGAAGAAGTGCAGTACCAACACTATTTACAGTCTGTGTAGTGTGCTGCTGACCTCGACTCAGAATGTCATGTGTCGGTAGGCGGAGTACTTCAAAGACCTCCTTAATCTCACCAACATGTCTTCCATTGAGGAAGCAGAGTTTGAGGGCTCCGGGTTGGTTTCTTCCATCTATGGTGCTGAGGTCACCAAGGTGGTTAAAAAGCTTGGTGAAAAGGTTGGCTTTTGTCACTAAATCTGTTCATAACTTTTATGGAGAGAATTTCTAGGCACAGCCAAGGTGTTGAGGGGATCCATTGTGGTGGCCTTAGGATCGTGTTTCTATTATATTCAGATGACATGGTCCTATTGGCCTCATCAGGGCATGATTTACAGCTATCACTGGAGCGGTTCATAGCCGAGAGTAAAGCGGCCGGAATGAGGATTAGTGCTTCCAAATCTGAGACCATGATCTTAAACTGGAAAAGGGTAGAGTGCCTTCTCCAGGTTGGTGAGGATGTACTGCCCCTTGTGGAGGAGTTTAAGTGTCTTCGGGTCTTTTTCATGAATGAGGGGAAGATGGAGCGGGAGATCAACAGGCAGATAAATGCCTGTGAAGCGGGAGCTGTACTGGTCCGTTGTGGTGAAGAGAGAGCTAAAACAAAAATACTTCATTGATTTTATACTGAATATGCAATGTGATGCATAGTCAGTATAAATTACAGTAATCTACTTATGCTATGAAACAACAAGTGTGAAAAAACAAAGGGTGAATTTATCTTTATCGAAAATGAGAACATCATTGTTGTTTGATGCTGTTGCGCACATATTTTTACATTGCAACCTGTCTAATTTTAGAGTAACAATATGGTGGCCGGTGACTTCACTTCACCCTGTACTACTAACGGGCTATCAGCAATCCAGTGAATAGAGATCAGTGTTGGATTCCTGTGCCCAGCAATAGCAAATTTAACTTTTCTTTTACAGTAATATCATTGGCTATATGACATAGAGATACTCATGTCAGAATCAAGTCATTAGACAAGAGATTTTTACTTTTGTCTTGAACGCTGATCGATTTTGTTTCAATTTTGAAGTCGACAAACACTGAAGTTGCATTGATCAAAGCATCCTGTATCTCATCATCATCAGGAACAGATGAGCTTCTAAACTGAAGGTTCACAGTGTGTATGGTTGGGTTTTCTCTGGAAATATATTCAACAAAGAAACACAATGTTCAGTGAGAATAAACTTTAACTTATATTTGATATAGGAACAATATTACCTCATTGAAACCACCTCCAGGGAGATGAAGGAGGAAGAAAACCTTCTCTGGAAGATAGGTCTAAGCTGCAAGGGCAGAAAAAGACTTATAGTCAAAAGTGAATAGTTTTTGCACTTCAAACAATAGACTACAATATTTGGTAAAAAGAAAAAGAACCAGATCTTAACCTGTCTCTTTATCAGTGAAGATTCATTGGCAGTAGATGATGAATTCAACATGTCTCTTCCTAATGGATTTTTTACAGATATGAAAGACACAACTCTCATTGTCAAGTCTTGCTGTTTGAGTAAAGAAGACCTTTCTCTTTTGGGACATGAACTAGATGTCAGTCTACATGTGCAAGTTTTGGTTGGGGGACACAAAGTGGGCCTGGACATGGGAGGTGGTGTTGTGGTATCGGACATTGTAGCAGTGGTAAATATGCTTTGGGTCGTTGTTAGAGGTGGTATAGTGCTTGATGGTAATGGATAACTTGTGGTCTCAGTTGGGGGGTTTGTCGTGATATCTGTAAATGTGGTTGGGGATACAGACATGGTTGCAGCAGTAGTTGTGCTTGGAGCCTCGGTGATTGAAGTACCTAAGATACATAAAAAAATTGTCAAGTTTTTGAAATATTGTTGGTTTTGTATTTAGCTTAGCTTACGTTCATCATGCACAAGAATTGAAGTGATGTTAATCTTGAAATCTGTGATGTTTGAAGATGCCTTGACCAGAACTTCCGATATTTCAGTTTTATTAGGAGCTGATGCTGTTGCAAAGTCAAGGGCAATGTTGTTGATGATCGACCCGTTTCTGCAATGATAATAATATATTAGTTAATGTTTGCAAGATTTTTAATAAAGATCAGAATTTATCTACTGTTCTACCTGAATGAAATCACACTGAGGTTCAGAAATGAAGAAAACTGCCCGTAGAGACGTTCAAGCTGCAGAAAGACATAAAAATATATGCTTTATAGTTGTTTTCCAAAAATAGTTAATTTGAGGGATTCAAAGTGTGAATAGAAATGTGTTTATTTAAGATCCATCAACGACTATTTTAGATTATTGGTTAATATAATACTCAAAGTTTTGTGTAGCTGTAGAAACAGCTTATAGCAAAGCAAATCTGAATATCTATTTTATGTCCCAATTACATGTAGATAGAAATGAGCACTAATTGAGACCAAAGTGGTTTTTTCATTGTTCTCAGATTTCTCCTGAGAAATACATGTTACATCGAGCTTTGTGTGCATTCTCAACTTTTTCTCACATTACTCTCTTATCCTGACCTACGGTAAGAGAAAAAATGTCCTCAGACCTCTGAGAGACCGGCTCATGTGACTTTCTGGGCGGTGCCCACCCGGTCTCATTGGCAGCCTACCGGCTGGAACCTTCCTCATTCTCTGGACTTGGACTGAACTCTGACATGAGGTTAGTGACTCACACCTTCATTATTATCCTGTGTCAGATCAACGTGGTCACTAACCTGTGGTCTCCTCCTGCAAAGGTTCATGCCTTAGACGACGATGTTCTCTGCAGTTCCGTCTTAAATAATAGTTTGTTAACTGTCTTTCCGCCTCGAATTCTAGGTCTTTTAGTTTTGAGCCTGACATATATTCAAAAGACACAGGAATTCGCCACCTTCAATTTAAGACAGGTTTTACTAATTGATTTATCGAGTGTTCTTTTCCTGTAGATTTTGTTTTTAGTAAAAAACAAACCAAATAAAACTATAGATCCTATCCTTAATATCCAGAGTTACATTTGACAGCGTTTGTTTATTGTAAAAGCAGTGATGAATATGTTTGACTAAAGAAATAAAACTTACATTGGATGTCAAAATTTGAGTTCGATTTTGAAATGCTTCAGATGAGGAGTCTAGCAAATCATTTGTGAAGGTTTCTCCGTTAGATGTAAAAGTCAGTCGCCTTTTTATTATTTCCATCTCAGTAGTTGCAATGGTTGTACCCACTGTTGATGAGGGTAGAGATAATCTGGTTGTAGTTGTTGCGCCTGTAGTCATGGTTGAAGTCATAGCTGTAGTTGGAGCTTCTGTAGTTGCAGAAATTGTTGTTTGAGCAGAGGTAAATGTGGTTGGAGCAGCTGTCATGGTTGATGCAGCTGTTGTGATTTGAGCAGCTGTCGTTGTGGCTGATGCAGCTGTTGTGGTTGGAGCAGGTGTAGTTGTAGCTGGAGGAGCTGTTGTTGTGGTAGGATCATGTGTTATGGTAGGAGCATGTGTTGTTGTGGTAGGAGGAGCATATGTTGTGTCTGGAGGAGCTGTTATTGTGGATTGAACATACGTAGTTGTGGTAGGAGCCACTGTAGTTGTGGTTGGATGAGTTGTTGTTGTCTCTGTAGGAGCTGTTATTGTGGTTGGAGCAGCTGTAGTTGTGGTTGTATAATGTATTGTGAATGGAGGAGCTGTTGTTGTGGTAGGAGCAGCTGTTGTTGTGGTAGGAGCAGCTGTTGTTGTGGTGGGAGCAGCTGTAGTTGTGGTTGGAGGAGCTGTTGTTGTGGCTGTAGTAGATGTTGTTGTGGCTGGAGTAGCTGTAGTTGTGGCTGGAGTAGCTGTAGTTGTGGCTGGAGCAGCTGTAGTTGTGGTTGGAGGAGCTGTTGTTGTGGCTGGAGTAGCTGTAGTTGTGGCTGGAGTAGCTGTAGTTGTGGGTGGAGTAGCTGTAGTTGTGGCTGGAGTAGCTGTAGTTGTGGTTGGATGAGTTGTTGTTGTCTCTGTAGGAGCTGTTATTGTGGTTGGAGCAGTTAGGGTTGTGTTTTGGGCAACTGCAGTTCTGGTAGTTAAACCTGTTCAATTTAATTCAGTTTATCCATATTAGCCTGGTTTTCAGTACATGTAACAGTAATGCACTTTACAGAGGCAGTTAAATCAAATCCTCCAGACCAATTGGTTAAAAGTTTTTTAAGGAAACCCAGGAGAGACATCAATTCTTTGAGGAATCCACTGTTCCTACATTGCAACAATTCCTCATACTAAACATGCCTGTTAAAACTCCCAACTGCAACCACAACCCCCAGTCCTTAACCAACAGCTGACTAGGGGTTTGAGAAGACAGGTGGTAAAACATCTAGAGCACGAAAACAACTGTGCAAGGCTGTGCTTTGTTAACTTTAGCTTAGGGTGAGGGCTTAATACAATCCATCCCTAAAACAATTAAATAAACACTCTATGCAATTTGATTGAGGGCTTTATTACAAACCGAACACAGATGATGATAGTTGAAGGGCAAAACTCCGCTATATCCACTGGAGCCCACTGTCTTTTACATGCAACAAGATTGCGATGTAACGAGAAACCAAACACGACTGAAGTTAAGCATCTAGCAGTATGGTTTAAGAAACAATAACACTAAATATCATCAGAAAAGGCTAAATGTATTATTGTAGATTTTTTTAGAAACAGCTTTTTTACTGATAGGCTTTTACTGTTGTTTTAAAACTACTCTAAGGGTGATTAGCAGAAACTTCATCATGTGGTAAAAGTAGTAGCGAAGATCACTTGGCCTATTCTTGCAGAGATCCACAACATATACACCAACAACTGTCTGAGTAGAGTCCATGCTTGATCAATGCTACCCAGTGCACCACCTATCCACCTGAAGCAATGCGAACAGCCCACATTTATTATTATTACAGTTTAGTTTTAATTAATTGATCCATCCATAGTTAGTTTGTTATAAATTAAAACATGTTGTTGATAGATAAACATGACGAACTTTACCTGCTAAAAGGCCAAGAGTTAAACAGATCTGTCTGAAGTCCATTGTGACAACCATTGAATCTTAAAAAAAAAAAAAAAAATCAAACATTCAAAAAGAAATTTTAACATTACCTGAAGCTGAAAGTCTAATACTTTACCGTTTCCATCAGCGTACATTGAGACAAAGTAACTATTTTATTTGAGCAGTTTGCATATTACTTTTATTACTTTTTGCCCTTATAACTAACCTCTAGTACTTGCACTTTTGTTTAATTAGCTAATATCAAATGTGCTTTTCTATATACACCTAAACCATCTGTAAGTACCTGTTTTTTGTTTTGTTTATTTGTTTATTTGTGTTTTTTTTTTTCTTTTTGGGTTTGCAAAGTTAACAACCCTGAAATACATTGTACCAAAACACTTGCCTTATGCTAGAAGAAATGCTACTACTATTAATACTACTATACTATTGGAGGTCAAGTCTTTCTTTTACAACTCCGTATTAAACATTTTCATTTTTGTCTTTAAGCCATGTAGCCAAATTATATGCAAAGTAGGAGAAGAAATTTCAAGATTCAACATTTTCAGTGACCCTAGGCCATTTGGAAAAAAAATAAGATTGCTTGTGAATTTTGGACTATGCTGCCCCCATTCTTTTATGAAAACTTGAATAGCAGCTTTGAATTTACCAGTGCAACCAAGAAGGGAAAAACGTACTTTTTATGCTCACTTACAAACTGAAATTCATCTTTTAAGTAACTTACTAGTTTTCTTTTGGCTCCACAGGAATTTATTCCCAAATGACGGAGGAGTTGTTATATTAGGCATATGGAAACGTTATATTTCTACCACTTACAGTTATTTTATTGTCTCAATATTTGTTTATGAGACATATTGTCAGGAGCTGTAGGTTAGATTATGGATTAGATTTTTTGTTATTTAGTTTTTGTCTGATTCTGTTCTTTTTGCAATAGGGAGTTTGCCATGTATGTTATGTTTTATATTTTGTATGTATTTTCTGGTGTATTTTTTCTTGTGCATTTCTTTGTGCCTTTAGTTGTGTCATCACTGTCTCAGTCTTTCTTTCTGTATTTGTGTGAGGAGGTTCTGGGCAGTTTTTCCTGCTTTCCATTGTCTAAGTAATTTGTCCTTTAGACAGACTCTTCAGTTAGTTGATAAAATTCTTTCACCTGTTTCCACCTTGTTTGACTTATCGTCATTACTTGTTCCCTGCTCTTTTTAAGCCTTAATTTTGCATTGGGCTTTATCTGAATTTTGCATGCCCTGAACTCATTGTTGAGTTAGGGGCAACAATTTCAGATATTTGGATCATTGTGTCAGTTGTACGTTAATTGTCTCAATTCTCATACTTCAGTTATTTTCCATGATTATTGATGATTAAAAGATCCTTCAAGTCATTATGCTACTCCCCAGTGGCGGTCTGAAGTTTGGTCAGCAAGTTTAACTTTATGATGCATTTGGCAAGTTTTGAGTTTCTTAAAACGTTGAGAATATGATTCGTAAAAGTACCATAATTTCATCAGTCTGATAATAGGCCATGATTAAAGATTGGAAGGGTTGGAAGACTTTTCTTTAACAAACACCTAAATAATATACATGGTAAACAAAAATCTCCAATTTTAAGGTTAATGTAATTTAGAGTTTTAAAATAAACAGTTGCTGCTAAAATTTTAGCACCATATATAAATCATAGACTATATCGACTAATTTGTCAGGAAATAAAGTTGTTACATTATTATTCTGTCAGCTTTAGGAACAGACACCAAAATGCGTAAAATGTTCCACAACCATAAAAATGAATTAATTACAAGAAAGAATATGACAAAAAAGTGGCAAAAATACTCACCGAAAATGAAATGTAAGCCTTCAAGTTTCTAATTCACTGTTCCAGAGATATTACAAGCATTCAACAATGTTTTTATACATTACTCAAAAATCTGTTCAGTAATTCCAAAGGAACTCATCCTTAAAACAAAGATTTGGAAATAAATATTTTAGTGATAGCTGCTCTCTTTCCTTGTGACGTTGCTCCTCCTCTACCCTTTGGAACAATGGTCAAAGTTGTAGTGACAGCATTATAACATCTTTCTGGTTTGTATTGAAATAATTATTACTCCCTGGAGCCATTATTCAAAAGAGTTTCTTGTAAGGCACACAAATATTTTGAATACTGACTCGCATTTAGTTGATATTTGTTAGCGTAGTGTACATACAGTTCAACATCTTTGACTGTTGAACTGTTGGGAAAACTCTAAATAAAGTCACAAATCGGGACTCTGCATCACACTGATAACATCATACCAAATAGAACTCAACTCAAATGTTTTCTACTGCATTTTGTACCATATCTATTTTTTTTGTTTTTGTTGCAATGTTCTGAATCTTCCACATCAATGCCCTTTGCACCATGTCTCTCCTACTGTACACTGTTTACATTTGATCACTGCTTCACTTTATGAATGGAAATGTTTTTTCATTGCTAAGCTGCTGCTCATTCACTGTTGGAAAGCTGTTTAAACAAAATTTTGTTTTGTGTACAAAATGACAATAAAGTTTGTCTAAGTCTAAGTCTACAAAAATGATAGGCCCAATGTCCTTTCAGACCTGGGCTGCAAATGCTCGCCCCTGTCCTCTTCACCCTATACACCTCAGACTTCTGTTACAACTCTGAGCTGTTTCACATACAGAAGTACACAGATGACACAGCCATTGTGGGGTGTATCAGGGAGAACAGAGACAATGAGTACAGGAGTCTGGTGGGGGACTTTGCCACCCGAATCTGCACCAACCACCTGGAGCGAAACATCTCCAAGAGAAAGGAGCTGGTCATAGACTTGGGAGGAATGGACCAAAGACTAAGCCCATACTACTGGAGGGGGCTGAGGGGGAGGCTGTGGATTCATACAAATACCTTGGGGTGTGGCTGGATAATAAACTGGACTGGTCAACACTCACCAACCACCTGAACAGGAAGACACAGGGCAGGATGTACTTCCTGAGGAGACCGAGGTCGTTCAACATCTGTAATTAGCTGTTGGAGATGTTCTACAAGTCTGTGGTTGCCAGTGTCCTCTTCTACACTGTGCACTGAGCAGCACATCCAAGGACACACCCAGACTGAACAAACTGGTGAGGCGAGCCGGCTTTGTGATTGGCAAGAAGCTGGACCCTCTGAGGATGGCGGTAGAGACAAGGACACTTCACAAACTGGTGGGCGTTATGAACAATGCCAGCCACGGTCTGCACTCTGTCCTCACCACTTAGAGGAGCCTGATTAGTGGGAGATTGCTCCTTCCCAAATGCAGGACCAACAGACTACTGAACTCCTTTGTTCCCCAAGCCATCAAGTTGTAAAACTCCTCACTTAGGGGAAGGAGGAGGTGATAGGAAAAGGGACAAGGGTCAACACCCCCCTCCTTAGACATCTAATGCAAAACATTACCTATTGTCACCCAGGTGCAATATTGTTCTCTCACTGTGCAATAACACATGCCAACTACTTTGTAGCCTGTTTAATTTTTGTACTATTTATAAGGCCAGTAATTCTCTGCAGTACAAGTGCAATAATCCAAGTCAACTACTGTATAGTCTGTATAATTTTCATTTATTTATATGGTCCGTACAGTTCGGCAGTGCAAGTGCGATAACCAACTGCTAGTCAATTACTATGTAGTCTTCCCTTAGCTCTCTAATGTGCAAATATTTTTATATCTAAGGGAAACATATTCCAGGACATTACAACTTTTTTTTCTTTTTTCATGCTTTTTGTACTGTTGTGATTTTATGTTCTGTTCAATTCTATTCCCAGCCAGCTGGGAATTTATGTTTCTGATGCTTTAAAATGTTTATTGCCCTCCCCGGTAGGGGTGGGAAATATCTTATTTTATCAGAAATTATTTCGGCTGTTATACTGTTTATGACACACGCCCTACTAGCTGTGTGTTCATAAACAGTGTGATTCGAGCACTAATCATGGTCAAACAGTTAATTCTGCACAAACATTGAATAGATTCACCACAACTTCTGTTCAATATATAAGAGTTTATTAACAAAAATCATTCAGCTCCAAGTCAAACATATTTCAGTTTAAAGCTCTAAACTAAAACTAGTGAAACTAAACTAAACTAAACTACTACGTATGTACAAAGAGGAAGGGGAACATGGTTGAAAACCATATTACAGTTTAAGATGGATTTTGTGTCTGAAACCAAAGTTTATTTGAATAATCTGGGATATGATCAAATTAGCTTTTCACTAATTTAAAGAAATTGGAATGTTTTCAGACCAATTCAGAATTCAAATCCATAAGGCGAATAAAGCATTATTTGGCCAAATAATGTTTTACTAAATGATTTGCTTAATCAAGAACCAATAACCTTTAGTTAAATGATTATTTACCCTCTTTAGCTAGCAGCGAATAGACATCAGGATTCCACTAAATTACTTTTGGTCATACTTGGTAATGGAAACTAATGAGCATCTGAAGAACACATGTACATTAATGTTATATTAGTGTTTAAACCCTTAGTGAAATGAAGCTTGTCGAAGCTTCAGCAAAAGCTCAACACATATTCCTGTAGCATAGCGCAACATGCAGTCTATTCTTTAGCATTTACTTTACTCATCAGTAATCACATGTTGTTTGTTCTGTCCCTAATCATTCCAGACCTGCAAATTTTTTTTTCTGTGTCCATTGGAGGGTTGAGTGTCATCTAGCTAAAGCTCATCAGTCAGGGCAGCAACAACCAGGGGTTTCTTTGTCTCAGTCTCACAAGCAGGGGTCCTCTTTGTCTCAGTCGTTCATCAAGACAGGGTAGGCCTTCTCTCCAGTCTGGCTCTATAATACCCCATTTACACTACCCTTGAAAAACCAGTCCATGCCGAGACCGGTTTGAGCTCGGATCAGTTAACCAGGCTGAGTTCAGTTCTGACGACCGTTTACACATCACGCTATCTCGGTTCCTCGACTCCTCGCCTCCTAGTGACGATCTGCGGTATTACTGCCAGTATTGAAGGAGGAAATCAAGCAGTTGGTGGCGGTAATGCTCCAAAAGTTGTTTGCCAACCGCCATAAAACACAAGAAGAAGAGGACGAAGAAGGAGGAAATCAAGCAAATCAAAATGGTGGCGCCTGTCACATTCAGAAAGTGATGCTTGATTATTATTGCTGTACTTCGGTGTTTGCGGAGGGTCAGGTGAAGATTGCAACCTTTCGTGGATGTTTATAGTTGTTTATAGTTGTCCTTCTTCTTCTGTTCTGTGTTGGTTGGCAAGAAACTTCCAGAGGGTCATTACCGCCAACTACTGGAATGGAGTGTGAATCGGGATGGGCAGCCAGATGGAGATAACGTGTTCTGCTCATGCACTCTTGCTATCAGAGAACAGAGCCAGGGAAAAACCAAGCCGAGCCCACCTCTGGAACTGGTCTGCAGTTAGCTCGGTTCAGTTCAGTTTGCTTTCCATTTACACACGATAAGTTATCTCAGTTACAGAGCTTGGACCAGTCTCGGCACGGTTTTTAAAGGGTAGTGTAAATGGGGTATATGTTCTGAAACTCAAGAGACATGTGTTGCAAAAGGTCTTTCTTGCAGTAATTTGGTTCTGAAAGGTAACCACAATGACCCATCCTTAGTGATTCTGGAGATTTGGGTCCCCTTGGGCCTTGGTTCTCCATCACAGTGGAGGTCCGGGCAAAAGCCCAGCTTCTTGGGGGAGGGAGATGAGGCAAAGTGCACAGGAGGCAAAGAGAGAGATTCTGGTTTTCTCTGTGGTTTTCTACTGTCCTCACACAGAGGGGGGCATGGTTGGTCACACCTCTGTGACTTGCCATGTGACTTGCCTGTGGAGGCCTTGGCTGAAACGAGGGGCTGCAGAAGTCCCTCAGCTGTTCACCAAAGCTGCGTGTTCTCCTCTGGTCATCCTATCAAGATATGGACACTGGTTCCCAATGTCCAAAAACCATGATCATGGCATATGGCGCAACAGTACTATATACACTCTTTTTATATTGTCTGTTGTATTTTTATCTTTAATGGAATCTTGGTTTAACTCTTTGTACTCAATATAAGCTACTGGAACCAGAATTTCCCTGAAGAAGTAAACCCAAGGGATAAATAAAGTTGAGTCTTAGACGCAGTCTAAGACTAAATGAATTTTACAACTGAGTGGTGTTATTTAAAGGTGCACAAAATGTTCACTTATAATGGTATAAAAAACAGCTGCAGACTGCTACTAATAACTGCTCCCCAGATACTTATTCTGCTGTAGATTTCTTCATGTTCTTCGTGCTTGCCTGGAAAGAAGGATTTTCATAAATCCAATTGGTCCTATGCTATTAGCTGATACAGAAACAGTTGAATTCTGTATGTTACTTACCTTCCACCAACTGTTATTTTAAGATTAAAGGAAACTCATCCACATGGTTTGTATTATAAGTAATATTGAATGGCACAAACTTCAGTTTGTCCTGTGTCAGACTGTATAAACACATAGTATTCAATTAACTTGACTGAAAACTTAATTTGAACCCAATTGGATTATTTTTACATATATGTTACTTGGATGTGTTAACCTTTAAAATGCTTTGAGATTATGCTGATGTATGTAAATACAATAACCTAAACTAATTTTTCCTCTATGCTGTCATGATCAGGCCTGTTTGCTCTCCCTTAATTAGTAATTCCTTTCACCTGCCCTCTTCCTTCCCTGCCTCAATTATAATTTATTCCCCTCACCTGTTTCCTCTGGTTTATATTCAATTCAGCCTGAGCATTCAGTGCCAGATCATTGCTTGTCTTTCTGTCAGTCTTTCTGTTCAGTTTTTATTTGGTTCATGTCCTGGATCCTAGCTGCCAGTGGAAAGAGGGTTTTAGTGTTTGTCTCGTCTCCTGATCGTCCACTGTTCCTCCCCTGCGGAGTCCTCTGGGTTTTGGCTCATTATGGGGGGAGGTTCAGTTTTTATCCAAGTAAGCCTGGCTCCAGGAAGGAGACCAGTTTAAAGTCCTGCTTCAAGTTCCGGTTCCTTCGTCCA